GTTTAAAATTTGTATGGATAGTAAAACATATTTAAGAGATGTTTATATCATAAATAACAAATAAAAAATTACTTTAATCTATAATAGGTTAATATAAATTATTAATTTTTAACATTAAATATTTAAATTCATTCAAAAATATATTTTAAAATTAGTGTCAAATTCATTATATATAAATTATATCTAGTATTATTATTAAAGTTGATTTATTTAATCAAATATATTATAAAAGATAGTGTTATTGTTTGGTTACCATTTATTATTTTGTTCTTCTCTGCATGTTTTCCTTTCATTCCTCAAAAGTTGTTTATTCCGTTCCGTATTGTTCTTTTTGTTCTTTTTCCTTTTGTTCCTCTAATGGTTACCAGTAGAAGCCGAAGTTTTTCGTAGGAAAATCTTCCTACCATTTATTTTGTAGGAATTTTCGTAGGATATCGACATGTTTTCTTGTAATATATAATATTCAAAGACAAACAATGATCATCTTCATAATTAATAAAATGATTATCTTTACAATGTGCATGGGAGATCCTCTTGTATACTTCTCTAAAAAATGATAGTTAGTTATACGTTCATTGTATGTATATCCAGTCCATAATTATATTTATAATACATACTTATATTTAAAATAAAGCAAAACAAACAAAAGTTGTGAAATTTAATTGCTCAAAATAATATATATCAAATGGAATTTTATAAGTTTCTGTTAGGGTGAAGAATACTATTTTAGAGTGTGACTTTGATTAATTTTTAGGTTAGCTGTAAGATATATAATTTAGGCTATAGATTATATACACGTAAAAACAAGAACTCCTTATAATAGAAAGAGCTCATATGAAAAGGATGAGGACAGAAGATTAATACGAACACAAACAATTCATTATTTAAAAAACTAAGAAGTAGAAGGCATATTACAATCTATAGATCGAACAACCTTCTTCGCACATACACAAACGACCACGAGAGTTTTAACATTTTTGTCACATACATGACAATTATTAAAAACATGAAAGATGGTCACACCCTTCACTTAGACGTACGTAGTATATTTTCATGGTTTTCTAGGCAGTTTCAACTGCATTCATCGAGCTTTTGGTACACACGGTAGAACATGCTTTTGCACATTTGTCTACCGCTTCATTCACGATTTCACTTGCATCTAGCCATCAAAACAAGATTTTAACGCTTTATTCTTTTGTCGATTAATATATATAAAACAAAATTGATGATAGTACTAATGAAGTTTAAGAGTTTTCTTTACCAGAGTTCTCGAGAGTGGTCAGAGCACCACACACAGAAGATACACATCCCAACTTGCAGTATTCATTGACAGCATCACCTATAAAAAACTGAATTTTTGATGCATCTTGTAACAAATATCATTCCTAAAAAAGCATAATATGAATCAATTTACATACCTGTGGTTTCAAGAATGTCATTTGTATATCCGTTAGGACATGTCGACCCATTAATGATTTTGCAGCCACTAAGTCTTGCACATACTGCCGGGCTGGGAGCTGGTCCTAAGCGGCAAACGTTATAGACATTTCTAGCAGTTCTGTTCGGGCAGCAGCTTTTGGCGTCAACTTGAATTTGTGCCATGAACAAACTCATCACGAGCACACTTAGAATCAAAGTTTTGCCTTCCATCTTTTGATTGATTAATTAGTTGTTTCCTCGCAAAATGTATGTAGAGAGTAATTAAGCTTGTATGTGATGAAAATATCGATGAAACAAGGCTCCCTTAAATACTAGTTGGTTTAGAGTTTGCAACCACAAATATTATTTGATCTCACTTCATATCACATAAAGGCTCTATAGACTATGTACACGTTGCATGGACCACCTTGCGTCTTACTTAATATTCTTTATACAGTTCACGTGTTATAGTTGTGCTGGTTATATTTTTGGCTATAAATGTAAAATTGTTATAAACTGATCGATCTTGTGAATAGATGTAATGTTAACAAAAAAATAAAAATAGATCTCTGCGGTTAGCTATCTTGAAGATTTGGTGTCTCTTTATTTAATTTCAACAAACTTTTTGGTTCTGATTTTGAATAAATATAATATATTGGGACCAAATGAATTAACGTGTGTTGTCTAATCTATTCACATTCATATATCTTTCAATTCAACCGCACATTGCATTATTAGAAGATTACTCATTCAATAGAGAACGTTAGGTCTAGAAGAAGATTACCCTTTCAATGGAGAATGTTAAATTAGAGTTTGTTATGGGCTTGCAACTTAAAACCAATTGGCAATGAGTGGATTGGTCCTAATCCCTTATATATTACTGAAGTCCCCTCACACCTTCCGGTGTGGGATCTTTTCTCCACACCCCCTCGAGATAATGATTCTTTTAGCCATTAATCTCGACAGAATTCATCACGCCCCCTCGAGATAATGCTTTTCTAGTTATCTCAATGGAATTGGCCTTCTTTTGGGCCATCAATTAATGGGGTGATCGGACCTCTTTCCAGGCCGGATTAATTAATGGGTCAGCGTGTGTTCGGGCTCTGATACCATGTTAAATTAGAGTTTGTTATGGGCTTACAACTCATAACCAATTGGCAATGAGTGGATTGGCCCTAATCCCTTATATATTACTGAAGTCCCCTCACATATTCCGATGTGGGATCTTTTCTCCACAGAGAACGCTCTAGAAGAAGAAAGGTAGAAACACTCGCCCAAGTAAACAAATTTTGTGTTAGGTCTGAAGAAAAGTTTTAATTTCCTAAATTAGACAACATGCATTATTGATCACCCCAAGATTCATAAATGGCTGCTAACTTGCGCAATACGTTACTCGTTCCAGACTCTATAAACTTTTCGTCCACATAAGTTAGAACTTGTATATTTCGTTCTTTCCAGTATGGTGAAAATATTTTGTGTCTTTATGAATCTCCTTCACTTTTATGTGGTGTACAAAATGAAGAAAGAACTTTTGAGGCTTGAGTTGATCTACATGAAACAGATGGTCATAGACCAAGAGATGTACGTGGCTTCCAAAATTACTACATCTCTTTAACTGCTGATTACTTAGGTCTTTGTATATATTTCTGCTCTAAGTTATATATGAAGCTGTTGCTCCAGTCACACCCCGGAGCACAATGCTTTCTTGTGTTACCTTCATCAAGTATGTTATCCAAAACCAATCCAGCTTTAAACCTTACATTTGTATAAATTGACTTCAGAAAAGTCACGAAGATCACTGGCCAAGTACCTTAGAGCCTGATCCTTATCATGTAGATGTAGTCTACATAACCTTTTTCGAAGGGGAAGAACCAAGGCATACTCTGAGCTACTAGTCATTCTCGTCTCTAACAAACTCAGTTGGTGACATGGTAACTAATATTTTTTTATTCTCTCTTATGATTGATATATCATGCTTTTTACGGCTTTTCACCATGATATATATATAAATCTTGATTTTATAGTCTTTTGGGTACTTTTAGAGTCCTTTTAAGTCATTGTAGGAACATGTACGATTCAGGATGTTGTGAACATATCAAATTTGACATTAATGCTAGTTTAATCTTTTAAGATTTGCAAAAACAATTGGAATTCTAGTTTTGAGACTTATATAATTTTCACAGAGAATGTTGGTTAATTTTACCTTTAAGATTTGAGTTCAAGAAACGCACTTAATCTGAATTATGATTAATTAAATTATCTATTTTCATGATTTTTTTGAGAATTTCCCTAAGCCTAGCTTTTTCTACTTCTTTCGGCTCTCAACTCTAAGATCTATTTAGGTATATTTTCAATTCGTTTTGATTATGGTTTGGTTAATTACTCAATATGCTCGACTAATTCATATAGAAATGTGTAGAATAAGTTAGAATATCTTTGAAAATATTTCTCATAATTATCTCATTTATGTATTTATGTATATTAGGAAACTATATCATTTAGGTTTTGCATTCTTCTCCCTATATAAACCTATGTAACTATTATTGTAATCTTTATGAGAGTCAATATAATATTTCCTAATCACTAGTGTGTTCTTCTCTCATCAACCTTCAACAATTCACACCATGGTAAATCATAAATCAGTTTTTTTAAAATTTATTTAGTTTTCAAAACATAGAGTAACTTATGATGATGATGATCATATGACTTGTATCTTGAGCTTGGATGAAACTGTTGGAAGCTTCAACATATTTTCTGTAAGTTGCATCTTTTTGAGGTCATCAATTTCAGCTGCAACGCAAACTTTCACAACTTCAAGACACTCCATATGCAGTAAGAAATGGCTAATGTGTTTCAGCTCGGTTTCACTTCCTTGATATTGTATAATATGCAACATCTTTATTTGGTTATTTGGAGGAATGTGAAGCCCTACAAACCGGTGTCGTCGTCCAAATGTAAAACGATATAGATCCTGAAACATCAAGAGGATAGAGTCTAGTACTTTATTTTCATGCCACAATCATAGAATAAGAGTTGTTTAGGGTTTTTTTTTGGTTTCATACCGAGAGAATCAGAGTTTTTAGGTTTGGAGATAGCTCTAGGAGAAGTGGCAGAAGCATTTTCCAACCTCGTTTCTTACTCGAAAATGCTAACTCAACGAGGTTGTTAAACACCGGTAATTCATCTTTGTAGTATAACAAAATCACCTAATTAAAACACACACACAAACAAAATGAATGTTACCTTGTTTTTCTAACCATAAAGATGATGAGAGACCATAAACTGAAACTGACCTCAACAGCAGAAGAAGTCAAGTGAAGGGTCTTGACGTTGTGTATCCCACTAATGAGATAAATTGAATTTATATAACCTGGCCACAAGACATGGCAATGAAGGCTCATTGTAGCTTTGGCAAGTGAATTCAAATTATTTTTTGGGGATCTATGCCGATCATCTCCATAGAAGTAGTGGTCGACAACATCTGGTTTGTTATGTGAAATAGTGCAAGAACGATAAATATTATAACTACAGTTAGTAGTAGAGAGTTTCTTAATTGTTTGAATGGTTTTATATAAGATGTCTTGACATTCATGACGATATTTTTGATGTATTGTAAAGTCCTCAAGTGCAGGGCAAGCAGGAAGTAACACATCATATATTTCCTTAAAACCGACTGAATCAAGAAGGAGCACCTTTAGTGCTGGGAGACATGCATCTGAAGGAACACATGGGATGTATATGCCTCTTCCCAATGATAGCTTAACCAGTGTGGTGCTGGTAAAGACTTTGGATGAGAGACGACGTTGCCACCCCATAGCTTTAATATCTAGATAAAGCTCAGAAACACCGTGTTCGAGGACATTACATATCCAGCGGTTAACAATATGCACGTCACAGGTTAGAAATAACTTTAGTGAGAACTTCTTTATATGGTTGTTTCCTTGCAGAGCCAATGTATTTTCCACAAAATCTTTGAAACTATATTGAATGTTGTTCATGTACTCTTCATCATTTTCAGGGTAAAAATAGTCAAGATTGTCAAAGTGAAGATTATGCACGAGAGTATAAAGAGTTCTCCACCTCTTTGCGATAGCAGAGGTTGAAGCAGCTTGTTTTGTCGGAAGGAAGGACAAGATTTGGACAAGAAGATCATCTGGAAGACTATCTATTGACGAAGCAGGATTCACAACTTGTTCACCAATAGAGTTCTCCATGTTTCATATATCAAGTTCATGCTTTAGTTTTTAGTTTTTGTATATATATATATGATAGAGGAAAATTGAGTCTTGCTAGATTTTTATTTATTTATTTTGCTTTTTTAATTCTTATTTTCATTTACTTTATTTATTTATTTAATCTTAACCACATTTTGGTAGAAATCATACCATATTAATTTAAGTCTAATTAATCATTTATCATATAATTTAATGCTAATAAATTTTACTGTATTCTCTATTTTATTAAGTTTAATACTATTAGTGATCATATGTATAAGGCTAATTTATAGTGATCATAAAAAATTTAAGGCTAAATGAGTTATTTTTTGGGAATTTTTATTTTTCCAAACCAAAATAAGTCCTCAAGTGAAGGTCAAGCATGAAGAAACACATCCGATAGTTGATCACCCTCAAAATGGACATAACTTAGTGTTGGGGCTATAATTTGGTAGTCTGTTAGGTTTTTTATTTTTATTATAATGGTAGAGGAAAATGGAGTGGTAGGGTTTTTGTATTTTGCCTTGTACTTTATTAATTAAGGCTAATTAATCTGGTTGGTTCTATAATTTAACAATTGTTGATACGACCTTATAATTTATAATTTCATACTACAATTTAAACTTTTTACATCAAACATTTTTCTTTCCCGTATAAAGAGATACCATACATTGAAAACTAACCTCGACAGCAGAAGAATTCAAGTGAAGGGTCTTCACGTCGCGTATAGACATGTTAATTAGGGCTAAAGTCTGTGGGCTACCCCGGCCGAGCCCTAAAATATATCGGGTTCGAGCTTAAATATATATGTCCAGGAAAAACTGGGCTTTTTGGGCTAAGTCCATTCGGACTAAAAGGGTTTTTAGGCTTAACCCGGTTGGGTTTGGACCGGCCCGAAAAATCCTTAAACAAGTATATTTTCAATTTTTTAAATTATTTTGTTTGATTAATGAATTAGTTTTCATATTTACTTACTAGTTTTACTTAATACTTTTAAAATCTTTATCTATGACATTTTCTATTATTTATATATGTTAAAACTGAACAAAGTTAAAACTAAATATATATAAGTATCTTGACTTTGAAATCATCGAAGTATATTAAATTTTGACTCTATCATCTACTTTAAAGTATTTTAGTTCCATATTTTATTGGGTTAAAGTGTAAACAATGTATATGGTTTTCATGTTTTTCTCTTAAATTAAGTTAGGTTTAACGAATATTGATAAGTTATTTAAAATTTGATGCATTCTTTTAAATATATATTTTTTAAACTATTATGAACTTAGAAGTTGGATTTTTTTTATCCGTAAATAAAGCCCAAAAAATCCCCAAAAGCCCTGTTAGGGCCGGACCAGGCTTTGAAATATAGGCTCGGATAATTTTTGGGCCGGGACGAGCCGGGCCAGCCCGATGGACATGCCACTGATGAGATCTGTCAAATCCACATCATTTTTTCATATTGATTCTCTAAGAAATGAAGGTCCAATATAGCTTTGGCAAGTGAATCTATATTACAATGTAGAAATTTCCGCCGAGGAAAATCAGAGTAGTAGAGGTCGACAACACTCGATGTGTCAACTATTACCATAAGAACTAGAGTTAATGGTAACTGAGAGTTTCTTAATGCTTTTGCTGGATATGATGTAAGAATGTCCTTGAAATTTTTTATAAAATATGGGTAAGTCTTCAAGTACGTACAGGGCAAGCCGCGAGAAACTCATTTAATAATTTACCACTCCAAACCTTAAGTGCTGGGAGAGATGTATCCGGAGGAAGTCCTTCGAAAGATCCTGTCTCTTATGACAGTTTAACCCTAAAAACCCTAATGGTACACATTTTAAGCTTTCTCTCCAAACTGAAAACATTATAAAGACTAACACGATCCCTTTTTTTATCCACGTCAAAAACTTGGTGGTTCAATTTTGAGTTATTTTGTTTTTGGTAAACTCTTTCTCTCTTAGGTTGTTTATACGGTTAGGGTTTTTCATTAGGAACAAAAAAAAACAAAAAACAAAGACTTTCTATATATGTGTTGGCTTCTATATATGTATATTTGGTTAGGTTTAAATTTTAATATGGGTTAAGATATTGTAGAAGAGTGGAAACTGTATAACATTGCTTCTTCTTTTCTTTTTTTTTTTTGCCTCTGTCATATAGTTATGTGATCCTCCGGATCCGGTTAATATATATCAGAGCTTTAGATCTACGAAAGGTACATTATTAGGTAACTAGACACCTTGTCTTGTTATTCAGGTATAATGACATTTTGTGGGTTTGCTCTACTTGTTTTGATTTGGTGCTTTGCATATAATTTCTAGCTGAGATATATATGAACAAGTTTTCCAATTAAAGTATAGCTTCTTAGCTGCCATTTTGACAATGATACTGAGTGTACAGTTTTTTGTTAGGACCCAAATTCTTATGATGGTGAGCAGATATCAAGTCACAAGAAAAAGTTAGAGCAGAACATAGATAGGCTCACACATGACCTCCTCCAACTAGGTGGATGATCGTATGGTTATGTGGAACAGGGGTGAATACATCTTGTGGGTTCTGCCCAGCAATGTTGGAGACAATAGACCATCTTTTCTTTGGTCATTATTCGACTCGCTTTACACATGTCTTAGCAGTTCTATCAACATCAACTATCAAAAAGGGACAACCAGCTTCATCCTCAAACTTGTGTTTCAAGCTACTTTCCACACTCTCTGGATTGAACAGAACAAGCGCAGGCATGAAGAACAACCAAGATGATCAGCTCATTCAATTTGGTACCAAATGGGATAAGAACCCACAACCAATGCTTTGATGCAGTAAATGGCTTGTATAAAATTATTTTGGGTTAGAATATGTTCTAATACAATGAATTTTATTGAATACAAGTGCTAGAGATGGATGAAGAATGTTTAGAAGTGTGAAGAAATACTTTTTGAAGTTTGGTCCCAAATGAGATAAAAACCCACAACCAATGCTTTGAGGCAGTAAATGGCTTGTATAAAGTTATTTTGGGTTATAATATGTTATAATATAATGAATTTGATTGATTACAAGTGTTAGAGATGGATGAAGAATGTTTAGAAGTGTGAAGAAAGACTTATTGAAATTTGGTCTCAAATAGGATAAGAACCCACAACCATTGCTTTGAGGCAGTAAATATAGAAGTGTGTAGAATAAGTTAGAATATCTTTGAATATATTTCTCATAATTATCTCATTTATGTATTTATGCATATTAGGGAACTATATCATTTAGGTTTAGCATCTCCTCCCTATATAAACATATGTAACTATTATTGTAATATTCATGAGAGTTAATATAATATTTCCTAACCACTAGTGTGTTATTCTCTCATCAACGTTCAACAGTAAATGGCCTGTTTGAAATAAGCTATATTCCATCCTGCTTGGGTTACAAGTTTAGTTTGAATCGAGAACTTAAAACAAGAGCTTAGTTTATTTTAATGTTTTTTCAAAACAAGGATGCATATATATAAAAAAGATTTCAATAACTAAGAGTGGTACACCCACTGAGCCTGAGACTGAGTTTGTGAATGGGTTTTTGTTTTGTATACATGCTTTGAAAAATCTCAAGTCCACGATTATTGTTGAACAAAAATTAATAAAAACTAAAACAATGAAGACTCGTGTCTTCTCTCCTTATTCTTTTGATACTTCTGCTTTCAAGATCGAAGGACACTTATTCTCCACAAATTCCTTAGCTTCTTTAAAATTTGAACCAAATCACAAATCACTGAAAACAAAGAACCTTACTAATTAATTATTGAAGACAAATATAATAGCCAGACTTACGGATGGTAACGATCACATGACTTGTATATTGAGCTTAGACGATAATAAATCATAAATCATAAATCACCAAACAAAGAACCTTACTAATTATTTATTGAAAACATATGTAATAGCTAGACTTACGGATGGTAACGATCACATGACTTGTATCTTGACGTTGGATGAAGCTGTGGAAAGCTTCAATAGATCATCCGTGAGTTGCATCTTTTTGAGGTGATCCACTTCCCCTGCAATGTAGATTTGTACCACTTCAAGACACTTCATTTTCCGTAAGAAACCGCTAATGTGTTTCAGCTCGTTTGCGCTTCCATGATATTGCATAATACGCAGCATCTTTATTTGGTTATTCGAGGGAATTTGAATCTCGAAAAACATATGTCTTCTTTGTCCAAATGTGTAACAATGCAGATCCTAAAGCATCAACACACAAGAGGAGAGGCTACTTTAATTTCATGCCCACAGTCATATAGATAAAGTAAGATTTGTTTGATTAAGGGTTGGCTTCATACCGAGAGAACCATGGATTTTAGGTTTGGAGAACACTCTAACAGAAGCGGCAGAAACCTTTTCCAAGCATTTGTTTTACACGAAAATACTAATTCAGTGAGGTTTTTGAATAAAGGTAGTCCACCATTGCAACATACTGAAATCACCTGATACACAAAGAAAGAATGTTCTTCAAGATTGTAAGGAAGAGATAAAAGAGATACCATATACTGAAACTAACCTCGACAGCAGAAGAAGTCAAGTGAAGGGTCTTGACGTTGCGTATCCCAATGATGAGATTCGTCAAATCCACATCATTTCGATTCTCTAAGAAATGAAGGTCCAATGTAGCTTTGGCAAGTGAATCTATATTACAATATAGAAGTTTACGCCGAGGAAAATCAGAGTAGTAGAGGTCGACAACACTCGGTGTGTCAAATTTAATAATGCTATAACAATCATCAGAAGAACTAGAAGTAATGGTAACTGAGAGTTTCTTAATGCTTTTGCTGGATATGATGTACGGATCTTCTTGAAATTTTGTATAACGTATGGTTAAGTCTTCAAGTGCAGGACAAGCCGCGAGAAACTTATTTATTGAGTAACAACCCGAAAACCAGATTGAATCAAAGAGGAGAACCTTCAGCGCTGGGAGAGATATATCCGGAGGAAGTATTAGGAAGTCCAAAACTCCCAGTGACAGCTTAACTAGTGTTGTGCTGGTGAAGACTTTGGATGGGGTAGAAAACACAAACAATAGAGGTTCAGTGAGTAGATAAAGCTCGGAAACACCGTGTTCCAGGGCATCACAGATGCAGCGTTTAACGTCATTAAATGATTTAAAGTCAAGTTTATGAATGAGAGCAAACAGAGTCCTCCACCTCTTGGAGAGAGCAGAGGTTGAAACAGCTTCTTTAGTTGGAAGGAAGGATAAGATTTGGACAAGAAGCTCATCAGGAAGACAATCCATTGAAGCCACGCAATCCATAGAGACAGACCCCTAAAAAAGAGAGAGAGAGAGTTACGTTCAAGACAAAGCTAAACCCTAAAAACCCTAAAGGTTCAATTCAAACCCTAAAAACCCTTAAGGTTCACCTTTTAAGCTGTCTCTCCAAACTGGAAAAAAGGGTTTACAAAGACTTAACCGAACCGAAACTTTTTAACCACGTCACACACTTGATGGTTCAGTTTTTGAGTTATTTTTGTTTTTGGTCAACTCGTTTTTTGCTCTCGGTACGTAGGGGTTTTGGTTAGGGGAAAACAGAGAAAAAAACATTAAAAAAAAAAAAAAAACATAAAAAAAAACTTGAAGGACTTGCTTTACATGTCCTTTGTATATTTGGTTAGGTTTAAATTTTCATATGGGTCAAGAGACTGTATAATATTGCTTCTTCTTCGTTTTTTCCTCTGTCTTATTGTTTATGTGATCCTTCGGATACGGTTAACATATCACAGCTTCAGATTAACGAAAGGTATTAATATTATTAGACAACTAGACACCTGTCTTATTATTCAGGTATAATGAAATTTCGTGGGTTCTTGAATATTTTTTTTTCAATCACAATATTCCTATTCTTCTACTAGTTCTTGATTTGGTGCTTTGCATAATTTCTAGTTGAGATATGAACAAGTTTTTCCAATTAAAGGATAGCTTCTTAGGTCCCATTTTGACAATGATACTGAGTGTAACATTTTTTCTTAGGACCCAAATTCTTGTGATGGTCTGCAGATATCAAGTCACACAAGACAACGTTAGAGAAGATATAGTGTTTTTGTTTGTGAATTCTTAATCTTTAAGACATTATATTAGTTGTGTTTTTCCTGATTATAACACAAATTTCTGATTAGAACATAGGTTCACACATGATCTCCCGCAACTGGGTCGATGATGTGATCAATAATATATCTCTTTCAGCTTCCATGTCAGGTCACCATAGAGGAGTCCTACTAAATAATATTGAAACTGAAGAGATAGACAAAATCAGATCAAGATGCCACAACTCCGAGAAGGACATCGCTTTATCAGTCGACCAATAAGTACAAACCTCGATTCTCAACTTTGGAAACGTGCTTGTAGAATCCAGAAGCAAAGCCAACGGTAACTTGGTATAAGGCTATGGACCGGGCGTGTTCTTTTAACTGTCGCACGACCAATGGCCACTAAAAACAACTCCAGCGACACATATATAGAGACCAACGCGACTGCGAATACTGTTAACTGACGCTGAAGTTTTCAGCGACTGTAAATGATCAAATATTCTGTTGTTGCGTCTCTTTTTTTATACATTTAGAATTATAAAACAGATTCAGCTTTAATTGTTTCTGTGGAGAATAAAAGAAGTTAGAGCTTTAATTTTATTTTGTCTTTGTTGCTACTTGGTTCTCGGATTATATACCTAAGTACTCTGTTTATGCTTTGGCTTGCTGCAAAAAAACAGGATTACAACGGGTGATCGTACGGTCATGTGAAACAGGGGCAAAAATACATCTTCTGAGTTCTGCCCAGCAAAGTTGGAGACAATGGACCATTTTTTTCTTTGGTTGTCTTTACTCTTCGGGGCTTTGGGCAGTACTAACTCGTAAACTCATTCGAAATCATTATTTGACTCGCTTTACACCAATTATTAATGTACGGGACCTAGAGGACACATAGACTTGGGAATTCCTTCTCAGGCCTCAGTACTCTCAGTGAAAGCCGGTCATAGACGTCGTCAAAGACACCGAAGTGCTGTACTAGACCAGATCGAGGATGAGATCGCTAGCCTTACTCTCACAGAAGAGGCGGATGTATCTTTATGGAGAGGGCTGCGAGATAAGTATGAACAGAAGTTCAATACAAAAGAAACAAGATATCAATTACGCACGCTCCAGCTGAATCAAGATTGGTATAAGGGTGTATGGTTCAAGCATGCAGCGCCAAATATGCTTTCATTACGTGGCTGGCTGTTCAAAATTAATTATTGATAAATGTAAAAATGGGTTGTGTGTACATACATTGGCGTTATCAGTTCTATCAACACCAACTATCAAAATGACAACCAGCTTCATCTTCAAACTTGTGTTTAAAGCTACTGTCCATACTCTATGGATTAAACGAAACAAGCGCATGCATGGAGAACTACCAAGCGCATGCATGAACGAAACAAGCGCATGCATGGTGAATCAGCTCATTCAATTTTTGGACCGTCTTGTGTTTGAAATAAGCTATCTTCCATCCGGTCACAAGAAGAAGCGCTTTGTTTCTTTTAAATTATATTCAAATCAAGGATGCATATAATGTATCAAGACAAAGAAAAAAGACCTAGCTATAACTAAGAATGTTACATCCACTAAGCCTGAGACTGAGTTTGTTTTGTATACTAATTAATTATTGAAGACATATATAATAGTTAGACTTACGGATGATTATGATCACATGACTTGGATCTTAACCTTGGATGAAGCTGTGGAGAGCTTCGATAGATCATCCGTGAGTTGCTTCTTTTTGATGTCATCCACTTCAGCTGCAATGTAGACTTTGACCACTTCAACACACTTCATTTTCAGTAAGAAATGGCCAATGTGATTCATCTCGTTTCCATGATATTGCATGATCCTAAGCTTCTTTATTTGGTTATTCGAGGGAATTTGAATCCCTATAAACGCTTTTCTTCGTCCAAGTGTGTAACAATGCAGATCCTAAAGCATCAAGAGACAAGAGGAGAGGCTACTTTAGTTTAATGCCACATTCATATGCATAAATAAGATTTGTTTCAGGGTTTGCTATATATACCGAGAGAACCAGGGATTTTAGATTTGGAGAACGCTCTAGCAGAAGCGGCAGAAACATTCTCCAACCTTTTTTCTTACTCGCAAATACTAATTCAGTGAGGTTTTCGAACAGAGGTAGTCCACTTTTGCAGCATTCCAAAAGAAACTGAAACACAAACAAAAAATGTGTTTTCAAGATTTTAAAGAAGAGATAAAGAGAGACCAAGACAGTGAAACTAACCTCAACAGCAGAAGAAGTCAAGTGAAGGGTCTTCACTTTGCGTATCCCACTGACAAGATTTGTCATATCCGCGTCCTTTTTCATATTGGGATCTTTTAATAAATGAAGGTCCAATGTAACTTTGGCAAGTGAATCTATATTACAAAAGTGTAGAGTTTCTTGCCGAGGAAAATCAGAGTAGTAGAGGTCGACAACATTGGGTGTGTCAAGTTTAATAATGCTACAACTATCATCATAATGACTACTAGGTTTAATGGTAACTGAGAGTTTCTTAATGCTTTTGCTGGATATGATGTACGAATGTCCATCAAACCTTTCACAACGTATGGTTAAGTCTTCAAGTGCAGGACAAGCGGCGAGAAACTCATTCAATAATTGATAACCATCAAACCAAATTAAATCAAGGAGGAGAACCTTTAGTGCTGGGAGAGATGTATCCGGAGGAAGTTCTTTGAAAGATCCTGTCTCTAATGACAGCTTAACTAGTGTTGTGCTGGTGAAGACTTTGTCTGGAATGTCTGGAATAGCAATAATCCCTGTAAAAGTCGGTACTATGCGTAGATGAAGCTCAGAGACACTGTGTTCGAGGGCCTTACATATCCAGCGATCATCTTTATAAAATAGTAACAATACATTGCTTTCATTACATTTAAGTGAGAACTTCTTTATCTGTCTACCACCTCGGATAGCTAATGAACTGTCTACAAAACCACTGAAACTTTTTCGAATATCGTTTCGCTGCCCGAGGATGGAATTGTCCAAGTCAAGATTATGACACAGAGCAAACAGAGTCCTCCACTTCTTGGAGAGAACAGAGGTTGAAACAGCGTCTTTCGTGGGAAGCAAGGATAAGATTTCGGCAATAAGATCATCAGGAAGACAATCCATTGAAGCAACGCAATCCATAGAGGTTTTAAGGTTCAATTTAAACCCTAAAGGTTTCAACTTTGAAGCCTTTTTTTTGGTCTCCTGTTAGGTCATCTTTAGGTTGTTTATATGGTTTTGCTTACGGTAGGGTTTTTCTTTAGTTGGAAGTGGGAAAAAAGGGAAAAAAAAACAAAAAAACATTCTTTGTGTTTGGGTACGAAGATAAGATGTTTTTCCATGTCGTTGTATAATTTGGTAAGGTTCAAATTTCAATATGGGTGAAGAGATTGGTATGTTCAATCGATGTTTAATTGTAGATCAACTCAAGTCTCAAAAAAGTAGATTCTTTATTTGGACACCACAAAAGTAAACGAGAGAGATACATTCACAAACACGGCAACATATCTACACCATAAAACTTAACTAGCAAAGACCGAGGAACTTAATTCGATCTTGAATTTGAATTTGATGCACGTTAGTCTTCCGCCATTCTTGTCTCTTATCGTCATCTTTAGCGTGTAAGTGCCCTGTTTCAAAGAGACATATTGTTAGACCAGAGAAGCCACTCTAAGAGAGTGATGCATTTGAAGATTGACCAAATAAGAAATGAGACAGAAGGGAAATAATCTCAAACCACTGTCAATATATACATTACCAACATGTTCAAACATAATTTTGGTATATCGATTTCTAGGTATATTCTAAGGAAAGAGTGTTAAGAAAAATCTTACAGGCGGTGTAATTGAAGGGAGGGTTTGGGAATGAGAAAGCACAAAGTTGCCTGATGCAACCGGACAGGCTGTCTCATCGCAGAGGTCATGAGTTTCCGTATGGACAGGAATCCCGAATAAATAAACGCTGATCACTACTTCTCCTCCAGATATGTCTTCGCCTATGCACATCAGCACACAAGATTTATAATCAAGAAATGTTGAAACTCAAAGCATTCCAATAATAATGTAGAAGCTTTAAGTAAAGGAAGCAGGAAGATATTTACCAGTAGAACCCAAGATCTTAAATGTTGCGGCTTTACCACTCACAACAGGGTCAGGAGAGATCTTGATACCCGTCACCTTCACCGGATCGAGCCTCTTATCTACAAATAGTCACCAACAACAGTTAACAAACAAGATTCCGACTGAACAGTACCGAGGGAAACCAAGAGACCAGAACAGTATCATGCCAATAAACAAACATGTGAAAACTGATATTTTTCAAGCAAACAAGAGGCTAATGCAGTTATAGTTTTTGGCAACAAATTTCTATAAGGCCACTTGAAGTATTCTAAGAGATAGCTAAAGCTGTAATAACATAACCAAGAAGAGAACAAACTGTATATAAGTATTCACTGAAACTGTCTCTCTTATGGCAAAGATAATGTTGAAAAGGCAAAAGCTTCCAAGTTCCAACACATACAAACGAACAGAAATAAACAAAGGATGTAAATTGAAGAATTGGGATAAAATTTTGGCTGAATTGAGAATAGAAAAGCTTATTTAGTTACACATAGCAAGACTATTGATAATCTCAAATCTGAATAGTAAGATAGTTACATAATTACATGCTTCAAGAGTCAAAACATTTTCTTGAAAAACCCACAAAACGTTTTCTTGAATAGATCAGAGAACCAAGTACACTCTCAAATTGAAAGCAGCAATCAAAGTTTTGAAATTTTCGAAGCATCTCCTATAAAGATTCAAACTTTAAAGGAAAGTGAAGTGATTTGTTCTGCAACAATTTATAAAACCCCTAATTTGATAGAAGATGATTAGAGTCGAGACAAAGAAGGGTAAGTTTAGGACACAAACCGCAGTAGGAGAAAGAAGTGGCGTGTAAAGAAGGTAAGAAGAAGAGTGATATGAGGAGAAGAAGCAGAGGCTGAGCTTGAGAAATCGCCATGGATGAGTGATTTTGATTGTGTTGTAGATGGAAACTGGAGAATTTGGTAGAGAGATGAAGAAAGAGTATTTGTGACAAAGAAACTGAATCTAACGGTTTCTGTACTGACCGAACAAATCCAACGGTTCTAAAGTTTTGTCAGAGAAATGATTTTTTTATTTTGTTGTTTTTTGACTTTTCTGATAATTTAATGTTTTTAATTTAGCTTAGGTGCACGCGCTGAAGAGTTTAAGGCACGTGGCTCATCACCTAGCTCGGTTCTCCGTAGCACAGACACAGATATTGTTAGAGAGTACAATTACAAATATCCGGTTTAATGTTGGTTTATAGGATTTTGTTTGGTTTAGTTGGTTATATGTTTTTCTTGATTATCTTCATTTGTACGAATTTTATCGTCGAAATACATATGTACAAATCAGAATTCTGTTTCTCTGTCGATCTCAAACATGATATTAACCGACTCAAATCAAAATGACCAAAAACGGTTTGGTTCAGTTTGGTTCGATTTGAATATTTCGGTTTAGTAGCAGACCTAGCTTACTAGGACACCATAGTTCAATGTTGCTTCTCTATTTGTTTTCAAATTACATAAACAAGAAGAAATCGAAAACCATAAAACAATTGTGGCCACGGCTGAGGTAACGTGGCATCAACGTAGCCACCACATCACCCACCAGATTATTGTTGTGCTAAGTAAATGTACTTCAATTACCCTAGGGAAATACTACTCTGTATACTTAAATAAATAAAAATTAAGTATTTGGTATAAATATTTTTAAAATTAATTCTCTCTCGTAGTTATTTTAGTTGGACAAAAATACCTCTATATATGATAACAAATAGCTAAGCGAGATATCATACTAAATATCAATAAATTATAAACTTTTTTATCCAACATTTATACGTTATATGTTTTTAATTTCTATAATATGATACAATGATTCAACACGATAATAAATGATTCATCAGAATAATTTGAAACTTACCATATAACTATTAAGTTTAACACTAAAATCACAAAAAAATACTATATCGTATGGTGAATAGTGTCATCGATTTCGGATGAACAATTTCAGAAATTTGATAATTAGTTTTTTTATATTCATAAGGTGTAGTGATGTTGAGAATAGTATTGTATCCATATTCGTTGAAATATATTTCGGTTTGGGTTTATAAAAGAGCGGTTAGGGTTTAGATTTTATAAATGAAAAAATTTGTATTCCGATTTGGGTTTATAAAGTAGTGGTTAGAGTTTAGATAACAGAATATTATGTTTTGAAATTATATTTTGGTTTGGGTTGACAAAATAGTGGTTAGTATTTAGGTTTTGTAATTAGAAAAAATTATATTTCGGTTTGGTTGACAAAATAGTAGTTAATATTTAGATTTTATAATTAAACGAAATATAATTTCGGTTTGGGTTAACAAAATAGTGGTTTGGGTTGATAAATTACCGCGATAACAAATTATTATATGTTTAAAAATGATATTAAATACTGATGAACAATGTTATCGAATTCTATCAATCACGTATGAATAGTTTTATTATTAATTTAATAGATTATATGTAAATTATCGCGATAACAGATTATTTAACATGTTTAAAATAAGTTATCAAATACTATTAATCACGAATTAACAATGTTATCGAATTCTATTAATCACAAGTGTTAATATTAATTTAACTAATAATATGTAAATTATCGCGATAACATATTAATTGATATGTTTAAAAATAAATTATCGAATGCTATGAATAATATTATGTATCTTTTTTTTTTTTTTTTGGTTAAATCAAATAAGAGACAGAAATGTTATTTTATAAATTTTTAACTCACCCGTTAAACTAAGAGCTGAACATAATAAGACTACACTGCATTACGTTTTGCGTATCTATCTTAGAGACGAACTAGCAAACGAACAACAATATAGAAACAAAACATAGTATATATGTTCTTAAGACATTAAAATTACTACAAATTTTGATTATCAAAGAAAAAAACACAAAATTGGAATAAGGCCTTAATCTTTAAGAGTCAGAAAAGAGAGAACAAGTTGGGGTGTTCCACCGAAGTGGGCAAATTCTTAAACCGTACCAAACTCCATAAGAGACTCCAATACATTTAGAATGATGGAAATAGGAAAAAGACAAATGTTGGAGCCAAACCCATGTGGGAAAAGTCTCTCTCTAAAGGGGGGTTGTTACTTACTGCTGGGCACATTGCACCCTTTGAGCACCACCTGGATGGTCATCATCATCGTCGTCATCATCATAAGCCTCTCTTTGGGCTTGTGCCTTCCTCCTCATCTCGTCCTCGATGTTGACATCGTGGAGAGTTGTTTCCTCGCATTCATCTATCTCCATGTCGCTCAACTGAGCTGTTGAGGGCTTCGGCAGAACAGCTTCCAGTGCTTTGGTCTGATCAGGGCTCAGTGAGTCTGGGAACTCCACTGTGAAGTGGATGTAGAGCTTACCCTTCATGAATGGCCTCTGGTATATTGGCATCCCCTCGTCGCTTATTGCCTTGTATGAATCTATATCAAACACATCAAGATAAGTCATCATGTTTCAATCAGAGAGATAAATGTACAATCGAAGTATTACAATGCATCTGCGAATACGTACCAGGTTTCACGACCTCCCCGGGGTTAGATTTAATGAGGAGATTTCTACCATCCAAGTGAGTTAGAACAAATTGGAAGCCACATAAAGCTTCCGTTAAAGAAAGTGTGTGCTCCACAAAGAGGTCTTCTCCCTTTCTCTTGAACTTTGGATGCTCTTTCTGCTGAAGGACAAACACTATATCTCCAGTGACAGTGTCAGGCTGTTCCAACACAAAAACATACAACAAAACAAGGTTAAGTCACTAAAAAATAAAACATATAGTAATGAAAGCTAAAGTAAATGGCTGAGGGTAGAGACCGCTTCATCTGCTTGTCCTTCGAATGTGATCTTCTGACTGTGTTGCATTCCCTTCTCCACATTCACTTCAAGCACCTTCTTCTCAGGAATAACCTTGTCTCCTTTGCATTGTGGACACCTGTCCCGATCATTGATGGTCTCACCTGTTCCTTTGCATTCATTACATGCATGCTGCATCTGCTGGATCATTCCAGGTCCGAGCTGCCTAATTGACACCTTCATACCTGTACCCTGACACCCACCACATTTCAAGGAGGCTCCAGATTTTGAACCCTTTCTGCAACAATAAGTAACAATCACAAAATTAAGAACCTTTTCAGGATCTAGAGTCCAAAACAGTTGGAACTATTTTTTTCAATGAAACAAGCATTCACTAAGAAGCATTTTGAGATAAAGGATCACCTCAGCTAATTCATAATAGTGGAATCTCAGATATAGTTGTAATATAGATACATCAAAAGAGAGAAAAAGGAAAACGTGAAAGAGTGAAGAAGAAGAAAGTACTAACCCGTTACACTTGGAGCAGAGAGTATTCCTAGAAAGTGAGAGCTTCTTCATTGTTCCAAGGTACACATCCTCCAAAGAAACCTTCAGGGGATGAACAACATCTTCACCACGCCTCTGCCTCCTTCCCCTGCTGCTACCACCTAATCAAAAACGAAGATCATTCAGATTCAACCAAGAGAAAACTCTCAATTGTGATAACAGAGAGCACGACAACATCCACGAGACTCACCTCCAAAAGGGCTTCCACCAAAGAAGGATGAGAAAATATCAAACGGATCATGTCCACCTCCTCCACCACCCATTCCTTCCTTGAGTGCATCCTCTCCATACTGGTCATAAATCTCACGCTTCTCCGGGTCACTAAGAACTTCATAAGCTTGAGCTAACTCCTTGAACTGCAATTACAAACATGAATCAGACTCTACTCAAAACCACAAACTAACACATAACACCACAAACCAAACTCATCCGCTCCATAACTTCATAAAGCAACAGACTTTAACCCCTCAATTATCACCACAAGCAAACCCAATCCATTAGAATCAATACAAAGATTAAACAAAACATCAAAAACCTAAAAATTTCACCACTTTCGTACACAAAATACCGCAACTAAGTAAATCTAATCTCAATTAAGTACATCAAATCGAAGTAAACATAAAAACTCAAACTTTTTTCCAGATCGGATCATAATTCAAACAACAAAAACTCACAAGAACACAATCGAATCAATCCAACAAAACCCAGATCGAATTCGACAGAATCTAAAGCGATAACGAAAAGGGATCTAAGAAAAATCTCACCTTCTCGGGATCTCCACCCTTATCAGGATGGTTTTTGATAGCGGCTTTTTTGTAAGCTTTCTTAAGATCTTCAGGTGATGCGGTCTTAGGAACACCTAAGATCTCGTAGAACTTAGTGTTGTCGCTCTTCTTCGAGGGTCCTCGGCCGAACATCTTATCTCGCCGTTCTTACGAAAACCCTAGAAATTGAATCAAGAGAGAGAGAGAGAACAGAGCCTCTCTTTCGATGGCGGAGACGAAGAAGAAGAAGATGAGTTTGTTGGTTTTGGGTTGATGTGGCTGCTATGTGTTTCTGTGAAAGACTTGTTCTTATGAAGAGGGCTCAATTGCATTTGCTTTTGTTCGAGGTTTTGTGGAGTTGGGATGGAACTCTCTAGAACCTTTTATTACTTTCTTTTTTTTTTTCCTTTTTTTTTTACTAATTTATATTTCTTTTCCAACAAGAAAAAACACATATGAAAGGAAATTATTATTTTTTATACAAAATACAAAAGGGAAAATTATTATATTTGGGTAGACCAAAAAAAATATATTATTTTGCAACGACTCAGAGAGATGTATTGACTTTTTTTGTGTGTGTGTGAATACCCTTTCATGACAAATTTTGCTTTTTTTTTTTAAATATAATCAATATTACTTTTAATGCTTTATAGAAGCAATTTATAAAACTTATGTTGGTTTTATTATAATTTTTCAACATGTTTTAAGAATCTTTGTTTGATTCACTGTAAAGACCGAACTAGGGTTATATTAGGTGAAGTAGAAGAAAATTCATTTTGATTATGAATCTAGACAATGGATATTTAATATGTTTTGTAAGAAACTATTTATTTGGTTAATGATATAATTTTTGGTAAAACTATAATATTTGTGAATAGTGTTGTTTTTGTGAATTTCCTAGTAGGTTTGTATTTTGTAAATTTGATGAGCATATGAGCGGATGTAAAGGTTCTTTTTATCCTTTAAAAAAAAAAATAATTACTCTATTTATTTTTCCAATAAAAAAGTGTATATGAAATTTTCATTCCTGATTGGCTGATTCAATGAAAGGAAATTAGTAGTTGGGATAAGAGAACAAGATATATTAAAATAATAAAATTTATTTGATATTTTCATTTGGTTTATATAATAAAAATCAAAAATAATGTTAAATACAAGAAACAGAATATTAACAAATTATAAAAATTTAGTTTTTTTTTATGTAATGCTCTCAACATAGTTTTGACAGAAGAAAGTTAAATAGGGTTTCATTAGCCAAAATAAAAAAATGAATCAGTTGAATTATTGTATAGACTAAGTATTTGGTTGGAGACGGAAAAATATATATATATAAAAAATTGTATACTAGTGAATATGTAATTTCGTGAAAATATCTTTTTTTTTTTGAGGAAAATTATATTTGTGGGAAATTTCTTTTATGCACAAAACCTTCTATGTGAATAAAGTTGGTAATATGACATGATAATAAGCACAATGACATTGGATAAAAGATGTAAATGAGATGTACGAGTAGGAGTTAATCTTTTCAAGTAGAAGTATATATGTTTTTAAGGCAATTGCCTTATACACCAGCAATTGCCACACGAACTTAATGTCCCTCTTTCCATAATAGATCACAAAAATATGCAAAACTTGTAAGTTCTTTGTATGTATCAATAGAAATCATAAAAAAAAAAAAATTAAAAGTAAGTTAGTGTGAATTTATAATGAGACATCTAAGACATGTAAATATTCAGACACTATATTATTTCATCTGAATATTGTATGGCATATCTAAACTTGAAAACTCTCGCTCAATTATTGTCTCAGTGATTTTTCTACAAAGAGTAAAATATAGAAATTGCTTTAACCAAAAAAAAGCCCCTATGAATTACAACAAAACTAAACTTACTAGAAATGTTTTAATGCAAATTTAAAGTTTCATTTTTAACTGTTTACCATCAAAAGAATAGGATGAAAATGCGTCGTAACTAGGCATGACCACGGTTACAATTAACACGGTTATGGTTAATTAACCACCGGTTAACGGTTATAATTTTCTTTAACTATAACATTAACCATTATATATACGGGTAAAACCTTTACGGTTATATATGGTTACAGTTAATTACGGTTACGGTTAAATACGATTATAGTTATTTGATGATTATTCTAATATTAATATTGGAGACAAAATATTATGAAATACTATATTTTACAAGTAAAAAATATATGTGATTTCAAATATTTACGATGAATTAGTTAAATTTGGGTATTGGATCGAAACTGAGAAACTCAACATCAAATACACATGGAAATAAGAATAAAAATAGTTTCGTATGAAATGTTTTGATTACTTACAAGTTCAACTTGTTGTGTTGTTTTTAATAAGGTGAAAATATTATCCAAACATTTGATGTGTCTTTTCATTGTATACAATTATAATATAATTTATTTTTAGGATTTAAATGTGCGGTTAACCGGCGGTTTATTACGGTTACGGGTAATTAACGGTTACGGTTAATATTTTTTTTTTACCGTAACTAATTTACTTATACGGTTAACGATTACAATTTTAATTGTTTTCTACTATTACGGTCTGGTTACGGTTAATAATTTTTTTTACCGTAACTAATTTACTTATACGGTTAACGATTACAGTTTTTAATCGTTTTCTACGGTTACGGTCTGGTTACAGTACGGTTGCGGTTAGAAATACGGTTAAAGTTAGTTTTTGGTCATGCCTAGCCGTAACTAGTATTTGATTTGCAAACAACTCCAAAAATTCTCCTATTTTTGGTTTTATAGCATATCTAGAGATTCCACAAGGATTTTTTAAAACAAAAGAATTATCCTATGCGATATGTATGTAAATGGTTTAGCAACTACCTCATCCAATACTCAAACATTACAACTCATAATTATTGTGTTCATCTTAAATACAAACATGATGCAACGTTTAATTTTCCGATAAAACAATTAGTTGGATGGTGATTTGTATGATATGATTTGTTGAATGGGTCGAAATGCGCAAATTCAGAATCTATTATCAAGTAGATAAGTAGATGACAACCGAATATCCCTGATTCATGTAAAATTGAGCAAAAGGCGCAAATTCAAAATCTATTTTCCGTTCTAAGAGTATAATATAGACGATAAAGTATATTTTTATAAGAATAAGGAGAAATAATTAGAAACGTTTTTTTTTTAAGTGCAAATAAATATCCAAATATTTTGAATTTTGAATTTTATGTAAATTTTATTAAAAACCAAAGAATTGAAAGAAAAAAATAATGTAAATTAAATAATGGGCCTCCAAAAGTTTTTGCCTTAAAGACTTTAAAATTATTGGGCCTGTACTGCTACAAAGTTTTGGTTAACTTACTAAAATGAATCCACAAAAAGATCACTTAAGGGTCAAAGTCTCTACAAAGTGCAAAGTTATAAAATAAACTTTATGGGCTTCAAAGTCTCATTTTACAATTTAGATGAAAAAAATTATAATGTTGTTGTTTGCATTGCACATGGCTCCTTACCAAATACAAATCACAATCTTTTTTATTTTATTTTTTATCTTACAATATATATTCAAAGAAATTATTTAAAGCAATGAATTTGAAAAAAGTTATATACACACACACACAATCACAGACACAAGCATGAAACCTTTAAACCAAAAAGATAATATTTTTTTTTCCCTTTTAAAAAAAAAACTTTTGGAATTTTCCGGTGGCGAAAAACGTGAAACCCCACAGAGACTCGTCACTCAGTTCACACACACACACCACTCTCTTCCCCCAAATCCCATTTTTCAAAAAAATGTCTTCTTCTTCTTCGCAAACCCTAACACTCCTCATCGTGATTTTAGCAATCACAAGTTTCCACAACACCGTAGACGGCGGCGGCGGCGGTGGTACAAACACTAACCATATCTATTCACCGTGCTCCGATACCAGAATCCAAAGATCCGATGGATTCACATTCGGAATCGCATTCTCTTCTCGTCCTTCTTTTTTCCTTAATCAAACAGTTCTTCTCTCTCCCTGTGACCGTCGTCTTACCCTCGCCGCCATGAATTCGCAGCTCTCTCTCTTCCGTCCTAAGATCGATGAGATCTCTCTCCTCTCCATCAACACTTCCGCTTTTTTTCCGGTAACCAAAAAAAAATTAAGTTCGTCAGTTTTGGTTTAATTATATAAATCGAATTAGTTTAGTGAATCTCTGATTAAGATTGTTAAAAATTATAAAAAAATGTGAATTTTAGTTGACTTTGGTTTGTTTTGAAGATTTAGTGTTGACTTTATACTAAATTAGGTTTGCTTGATGTTTGTTTACTTATAGTAAGGAACTAAAATGGTATGAGATTTGGTTTTATGTGATTACTAATTCTAATCATTTATGGAAATGTTGTTTAAAGTGTATGATTTGATATGGATTGTAATATACTTCAGGACAACTATGGTGGATATATGGTGGCATTTGCGGGTCGGAAGTACGCGGCGAGGTCTATACCGGCTTTTATTGCGAATAGTACATTCATTGTAACCAGTTTTACTTTGGTAAAGAAGCTTTTTTTTTTATGTGTCATTGTTGAGAATCTGATTTTGTGTAAGAGGGTTTGTGATTTATGATGTTGTTATGTTTTGTTTAAGGTTATGGAGTTTCAGAAAGGTAGGCTGCAAAATCTGTATTGGAAGAGAGACGGGTGTGCGTCGTGTAAGGGGAATCAGAATTTCGTGTGTCTTAATAAGCAGGATTGTGCTATTAGGACACCGAGCTGTAAAGGTCGAGGAGGTACGGTGGACTGTAGTCTCGGGATCCAGCTTGCGTTTTCCGGGACTGATAAACATTTGGCGGTACTTAACTCGTGGTATGAAGTTGAGAATCTTAAGCAGTATTCTCTTTATGGTTTGTATTCGAACCTTAAGAGCTCTCTTACTAGTCAGTTCAACAGTTTCTTTTGAGCTTCTTGATGAGATGTATTTGTTTGTTTGTACCACGTAAGTTAAGCTCTTCGATGACTCTCTAATGGTTTATGAAAATGTAACACGAAATTGCTGAAATGGTTATGGTGGGAACTGGAATGTCCCTATTCTGGGCAAATCTGGTTTGGTTCAAATTCAACCACTTGTTTTGTCGACTCGAGCCTATTAGTGGTCTCAGTTTATAACAATACCTGATGGTTAAGCTCAACTCAGATATGGAAAAGGAATAGATGTGTATTTGTAACACCATCAAATCAAAATCAAATGTGTGTTCTCTTCTCTATGAAGCCTTCAGCTTTCAGACAAAACTCTGGTAGCTGTATATACCAAAACAATTTTAAACTTGTAGTGCTGTAATATTGCAGGACTAGTTCCTATGACAACACCTCATTTACATATATGTTCTCAAGATTCTCTGTCAATTCTTCAATAGCATCTCCTTCGGCTGTGTTTACTTCATCTTGTGGCGTTTCTGATCACAGTAAAAACACGTATATATCCTTGAATCAAGACACTGATGAATATGTGCTATTTCTTGATTGCTTAAATTCTATTGACTAAGTTGATGAAGCAAGATTGGTGACACCGAAGTAAAGAGTCTTCTGGTTGAAAGCATTTATGGCATAGTCAACTTGAAGGTGACCCAATGGAGATTTGAACCGTAACCCATACCCGAATCCATAACCAAACCCCGGCTTCCCTTGTCTCAGCGAAGGGTTTCCTGAAACCAACTCCGTAACAGCTTTATCATTTTAATGTCCCAACAACTTCTTTATTGTTCTTGTTCAAAGCAGGCAAAGTGTGCACTTACCAGGGACAAGGCGGCTTGAGCCTAGGTCTGTTCCACAATCCAAGAAGATGGTCCCTTCTGTCATCTCGTTCTGTACACAAGAGGAACCAAAGCTCAATGAAAGCTTAACAGGAGAAACTATTTGATGATTCTGAAGACCAAATCACGCAATAGCTCCACGTACCAAAGGCAACGCCAATTCTGTATTAGAAACAAGGCATGACCTCCCGGATCCAACAGCACCCTCACCATATCCCCGAACACTGCCTAGTCCACCAATGGCAAATGCTTGATAAGGTGCCATGTCTCCTACAATTGAACCACCTGTCAAGCTGTCACAGAAGAGGTACGAATCACAGCAAAATTAGGATATCTATATGTGTAGTTGCTTAGACAGAGTATGTAAGATTCTGTCAGTACCTTGCTAAGAGAAAAGCTGGTCCCAACCTGACACCTTTTGATGCAACAAATTTGAAACGGTTGAAGATAAGCCACTTGGACACAACCGGAATACCTTGTTCTATTTGCATGGTGAACTGAATAAGCGAGAAACCAGTATGAAAGAAGAAAAGGTGAGAAACTAGAGTAAAATAAGTACGCAATTTGCATAAGCTATGAAACAGAAATGAGTTTCTTACATGAGAAAGACCTTGGTCGGTAGCCTTTGCAAACCGGGATTCTTGCTTTAAAACTACCATACTGTCATGTGTATTTCCACTGCATAGCAAAGAATTCTATACGATGTAAATATCAGTTTTGTGCTAGAGCTTAAGGAATCAAATCAAGGCAAGAGAGATATTTAATATCACCTGCATGTTATAGGAAATCCGTCCAGATCTCTGGTTATCGCTCGTCCGTCATCGTTAATTGGACGCACATGCTGCACCAATGGAGAATATTACTCTTTCTCCCGGAAGCAAAACAGTAAAGAGAATACTATTGTTCTACAATGTCTGAACAAGGTAATGTGCGGGTACCTCAAACTTTACACTGGTTGTGCTGCTCCACTTTGAACTTGCTGGCTCGCTCAAATCTAAACCAACAGCCAATTTAGACAGATTTACACCTCCACTCCCTGACCGAGAAAAATTGTCAACTGGGGTGCCATATACCCCTATCTCCGGTGAAAGAGAATGCTATACCAGATTAAGAAAATTTGAATGTATCAACATATCATAATATGGAAAATTCACTTTCTAAGATAGCTTCATAGATCAGTAACAAAATAAAAAAAATTGAGTACCTGTATGAAGAAGCATTGTTGTGGTCGCCATTCAGGTCTAGGTCTCCTAAAAGCCACCAGTACATTGGAATCATACAACCCTTTATCCCACGATACATCAAGCTTCTCGCTTCCTCCAAACAAATTTGGATGTTTAATACAGAGGCTGTAACAAACAGATCCAATTGAACCGGAAACAAAAAATGACCATTTCAGTTCTAGAGCTTGTATAAACGCCAATAATATATATTTAGAAGAGTAAGTTGTATCAATAAATGACAGAACTTGCCTGCCAATCACTAGAGAAAGAGGACTGCTAGTATCCCTGTTCAAACAACAACAAACTGAATTGAAGTACCGTTCGAGAAAGCAGACATAGTTTCATGACTATCATCTAAAAATGTGAGCACAGTTGAAAAAAGGGATGATGGGAACAAACCTGAAAGCAGGAAACATTAAAGAAGTACAAAGCTTGTGTGTGAAATCCACATTGACATCAATCTTGGCTGCAATCAACAAAACAAGAAATTCACAAATTTACACTACTGCTCCAAAACCATTCATGAAAAAAACCTCACATATCAAACTAATCCGATCCAACTTTTCACGACATTAAACAATCAACAGCAAGACCTATCCCACATGAAAGATTAGTAACAAAAAGGTTTTAAAGGAGTCTCCTTTACAAACAACCATTGTATCCTACAACACTCTAGTAAGAACATCAAAACTTGACACTTACACTCTAAATATCAAATCAATCCGATCTTAAATCTTACACTACAGTCAAATGTGAGACCTAACCCTGATGATGGTTAATAACAAAAGTGGCAAAAGCTGTTTCCTTTACAAAGAAAAACCAATGTATCTTCATGCCACACCCATACACATATGACATAACCAAAACTGTGCATATGAAATGAATCATATCTATAATATAGAAACAAACCAAAGCCCTCCAAACAAATAGCTAAATCCACAATCAAATTCCATACTTTTACCATTTTCATCAGATTATTACATTAATATTGATCCAACAACACAAAAATTCGAAAGAGATGGGTTTAGGAGATAAGAGTGATGATGACCTCTACCAGCGTGGATGCTCTTCTGAGCTCCCATGGCGATGGAGTAAGAGAAGAATCAAACATGAAGAGAACCCAATACAGGAATTGGCATTAGACAAGCAATGCCTAGAAAAAGGAGGAATCTTTTTTTGTTTTCCTCTTTCTTCTTCTTCTTCTTCGCAAGTGAATTTGCAGAGAGGTAAGGATTTGATGCTCCTGATTACTTTAGGGAAGAACTCAATTTTGGGTTTATCTCTTTCGTCTTTTCTTTAGATTACTTTTGGGCTTTAAGCATTTAAGCACATGGGCTGTATCTACAACTATCCAAAACAACATAATAATTTGGGAAAATTGAAATCACAATGGAAAAAAGGTCACAACAAATTTCCAACTTTCAAATTTGGGACTATTAAATCTCATAATCGATACACAAATCTAATGTCGTTGATTAATAAATATGTTAATTAATTCATAAATTTAATGTCGTTGATTACTTTAAGAGTGATGAATGCATCCACTGATTTGTTTGTAAAATATTTTGGACTTTGAGGCTATTTGTACCATAACATCCATGTAATGTGTGAAAATATAAACGGGAAAAAGCTTAAAATAGGAATACCTCGTCTTTTGTGGTTGGAAAAATTAATTCCAAACCATTTATGTATTAACAATTAATAGAAATGGATAACGATATAATTGAAATTTGTTTTGTTAAGAGATCGTAAGTACGAAAATAACAATATTAAATATTAAGGTAAATCACACGTTTTTATTAATATGAGTATTATTTTTCTAACAAAAAAATACCAAATATTAATCATTCGAATAAAAAATATATCTGATATTTTTAGGTTTTTTCCCCAAAAAAAATACACATACAAAGCTCTTTTGAGGAGTATGGTGATGATGCAAAAACAGAGACGAATGTAAAAATATAAAACCAATACATGGACGAAGAAAATCAAAGTGGCTAAAAACATAATACATCTGTGACCAAACTTTGGCTAGTTGGCTAGGCATCAAACTTAAACAGAATAGAAGATACCAAAAAGCTTCCAAACCAATATTAGAAAGAAAAAAAACTATATTTTCTATAAATACACCACATTCTCATATTAGCAAAACATTGTAAAAAACTGTAACTAATATAACGTAAACGGTAAACCATATTTCCTATTTTTAGTAAATTGTTACACCTCTTTAGTACTAATTAACAAGGAAGAAAGAAAAAGAAAAAAAAACAAATGTATATGTGAGTTGTTATTTCTCTATTTAGTACACCAACTAAGTAACAATAACATATTAACGGAAAAAAAAACCGTTTCCATATGTATATATAAACCCCTAAAAGTTCTAACATTGAAGATAAGGTAGCTCAAATAACATCAAAACACACAAAAAGATGAATCCCAAAACCATAGTTACAAATGTTCTTATCATTGTCCTTGTACAAATCTCATACTTATCATTAGAGGTAAACTCGTTAAGTGCATACCACAAGAAAGACTACAAAACAGAGTTTAAGGTAAAGCCAAACACGCTTGTACGAATGGTCATCTCCAACGATCTTTCGGGTGTAAAGAATGGGAACGCGGGTTTTGTATGCGCAAAAGGTGGTAATAAGGTATGGAAGAAGAGCAAACCAGGAGATCGATATGTTGTGGTTGAGTTTAAGTACGATGGTAAGAAGAGGCACACGTTCACGCATTGCCATCTTCGTTCTACATTTGGGTTTGTTAACTTCCCAGTTAGTGTTCATCCAGACACATCTGCTAAGTGTTATCCTAGCTATGTATGTGGTTACTCGGTTCGAAAAGATGGAGTTTATTACATCCCTGAGAAGAAGCTTTATCCATGGAAAAAGCACTAGTGATTTAAGATCATATCTATGCATATTGAGGATACATTAATGTTTATGGCCGTGTAATTACTTAAAGAAACATGCATGTTTCTACGCGCAAGTTTTTTATTTTTTTTCTTAACGTATAATTTACTTTCAAACAATGTTTTTTTTTGGTTCTATATATATGACTTGGCCATGGAAATTAGAAAAACGGCAAACTTTAAAGATGATGTGGAATGATGTATTGTTTCTTTATTTACATATTTGTTGTAAATTTTCACTAAATATGTACACATAAATTAATAGAATGTAATTGAGTATATATATTACCAATTACAGGTAAATATAAGATATATAATTTTTCTATGTTATCTAATTAGTTTTTTTTGTCAACATGTTATCTAATTAGTTGATTTAATTAAGTAAACCATTTTATATTATAATACATTTTAAACAAAAAAATAATTTTCCAACAATAACAATTGCCATATTAAAATTTGACAAGTCACCAAAACATAGAGCTACATATATAGTCTACTACTATAACATCAACTACATTTTGAATAAATAAATTTACAAAGTTATGAATAAAAAGTGACAAGAGATACAATTATAGAATTCTATTTTCAATACACCCCCCTTAGAAATTAGCCTTAGTAAAATACAGATTATCCTTGAATTTATAATAAAATAAAGATAACTTTAAAATTTGTAAGATATAGCCTTAAATTTATAACTGAGATGATTATCCTTACATTTAAGTAGTAAAATTTCCATGGACATGTGACAAAAAAGTAAAGAAAGAAATAAATACATGAGCCGTCCCCAAAATACAAGTAGAATTTTAAGAGATTTATGTAAAATTTATAAATCTAGTGTTATTCAAACATGAAATTTAAAAAAGTCTCATGAAATCCACTGTTATTGAATTAATGATTTCAAAATCCAACTTAAAATCCACTGTCATTGAAAACAATTTGTGAATTTGGCTTTTAACAATTTTGAATGATTTCGGAGGATTTGAAAGGATTTCTTTAATTAAAAATACATAAATCCAAATCCAATGGTTTTTTGGTGAGATTTGAAAGGATTTTACAAAAGTCATATGAACTTCCATAGAATCATCAAAATCATTTAAAAACTCAATAAAACTCAAGTTTTTTAAAATTCCATTTTGAATACACCTCGTAATTTATCCTCGTAAGAGATTTCTATAATAAACTCAATATTTATATCCTCCACCACCATATCAAATTTTCGAAACCCTATCGAGCAGCAAATCTAACAACAAAGACACAATACTGAAGCTTGTTGATATGGGACATGGAGAAGAAGTTGCCGAACAATTGAATCCGGCTTCACCAATGGATAGTCTTCCTGATGATCTTCTTGTCCAAATCTTATCCTTCCTTCCGACAAAACAAGCTGTTTCAACCTCTGTTCTTGCAAAGAGGTGGAGGGTTCTGTTTGCTTCCACTCATAATTTTTCCTTCGAGAGTTACTTCTTTTGTCACCCGAGAAATAATAAGCGATATAAATATGAGACTAGCGAAGTTATGCGAAAGAGATTCAATGATTTTGTGGACAAAACATTGTCTTTTCAAATCCAAGGAGGTAAGAATTTAAAAAAGTTCTCACTTGAACTTTGTAAATATTATAAAGTTGATGAAGGTGACATTGACCGCTGGATATGTTATGCCCTCGAACACAGTGTCTCTGAGCTTCATCTATGCACATATTTATTCTGGAGTATTTCTATCCCATCCAAAGTCTTCACCAGCACAACACTGGTTAAGATGTCATTGAGATTTTTAAATTTCCCAAGAGTTCCTCCAGATACATATCTCCCAGCACTAAAGGTTCTCATCTTTGATTCAATGTGTTTTGAGGACAGTGAATTTTCTGATGTGTTTCTACCTGCTTGCCCTGCCCTTGAAGACTTAACCATACAAGGTTACACGTCTAGTCGAAAATTCCCATTCGTCATATCCAACAAAACCATTAAGAAACTCTCAGTTTCTTATTCATGTGATGATGATGATGATGATGATGATTCTATAAAAATTTTATTTGACACACCTAATGTGGTTGACTTCTACTACTTAGGTTATCTTGGTGCTAAATCTCCATCTCCACAATGTCGCATGGATTCACTTGCCAAGGCGAAATTGAACCTTTGTTTCCTAGAAGATTACAAGGGTGAGGTGGTAAATGGTGCGAATATGCAAAGTGGCACGGATGTGACAGATCTCATTAGTGGAATACGCAATGTAAAGACCTTTCACTTGACTTCTTCTGCTGTCAAGGTTAGTTTCAGTATCTTGGTCTCTCTCTCATCTTTTTGGTTAGAATGAGCTAGCTAAGTATTCATTGTGTTTGTTTCAGGTGATTTTGACATGCTGCAAAGGTGGATTACCGGTATTCAACAACCTCGTTGATTAAGATTTTTCGAGTAAAAAACAAGGTTGGAAATCGCTTTTTCCACGTCTGTTGCGTCGTTCTCCAAACCTTAAAACTCTAGTTCTTTCGGTATGAAGCAAACCATATACAAATCTTACTTTAGATATATATATATATGATTGTGGCATGATTGTTAAATTAGTCTCTTATCTTGATGCTTCAGGGTCTGGATTGCTTCCCATGTAAACGGCATCGGTTTACTTGGATTCCCCGAAATAACCAAATAAATATGTTGCGTATTATCAAGTATCAAGGATATAAAAGCGAGCTGAAACACATTAGACATTTCTTACTTAAAATGGAGTGTCTAGAAGTGCTACAAGTTTATGTTGCAGCTTCAGTGAATGGCCTCAAAAAGAAGCAACTCAAAGAGGATCTGTTGAACCTTCCCGCAGCTTCGTCCAACCTCAAGATACAAGTCATGTGATCATCATCATCATCTTAATCATACGTTACTGTTTGTCTAATTGTCTTCAGTAATTAATTAGCAAAATTTTTTTAGTGATTTATAATTAGGGGACTATGGTGTGAATCATAAAAAGAGACAAAAGCAACTTAGTAGTTACCATGTACAATTTAGGGGTTTTCTAAGCTATATTGTATCATAAGCTATGGCAAATTGAACAACTTTGGTTTTTTTTTTTTTTAATGAATGTTATATTTATTCAACCCAAAAAAAAACCCCTTTTTACAATCTATGCATCTTTAGATTGATAGTTGATGATAAAGATTTTTTTTTTTTTAAACCATTGAGTAGTTATCTCCTTGAGCCAAACTAAATCTGTAAACCATCTATTTGATTCAATTTCTTGATAGAGGATATTTGATTGCGAATGAGGCTATCGATGAATATGATCAATATGTCAGACGTTTATTACGTTGTAACCAAATGAGTGGACAGGTTAGCAGTGAAGTAACAACACCAATAACCATAGAGTAGTAATCTCCTTCCAACAGAAGCTCCCTTTCATTGTTTGACTTATGAGCCCGGCTTCCTTTCTGACACACGCCACTTCTCGGCTGCGAATGCTTGCCCATCCGCCAAACCTGCTTCCTCGCACAGGGACCAACACGTCGTGCAGCTCACACGCTCCACTTGTTTGTTTCCATCTTTCTTTAACTGCTTCAGGTTCCTTGTGTTGCAATTTATATCTTCTGTTTCTTCAAGATGCTTGGAATACAAGTCGTAGAATAAACCTTTTGGTACCTTCGAACGTGGAGCAGGCTAAGAGAGATCTGGTGGTATAACGCGTTTGGAGAAGCTTATGAGCTAGTGAGCGCCTCCTAGACCTGTGAAGAAAAACTGCAAGCAAAAAATAAATGCTCACAAGTTTCCATCGGAGCTTGAAAAAGCAAGAAGCCAAGAACAGTGGCAATCGTAGCCTTAGAAGGTATTCCTTAGGTCAATGAATTCCCTATCCCCGAGAGGGCACACATTTTACTACTTTACTATAACATCAATTATTCTTTAGATATAATTTTACAAAATTATGACTTAAAAATGATTAAAGATTAGTATTAGATTTAGAAATTAGCATTAGTAAAATATAGATTAATGATAAAATAAAATAACTTTAAAATTTGTATTAAAATAGAGATAGCCATAAATTTATTACAATAAGATGACAAGCCTTTTAAATAAATCTAAGCCTCAAGAAAATCTTAAGCATTCAACTGTCTTCTTCTTCAGTCCCTGCCAAAATCCAGAAGATTCTTAAATCTCGTTTCTGCGGTTTAGGTGAATTCTTACATTTTTAATGGATTTCTGACGTAGAAGAGGAGAGAAGAACCAAGTTTTCTTCGAAAGGATTGAACTTTGTTTCTTTCTCTTCACTTTGATACAATATGCTTGTAGAATTGTCTTACATGTTCCTCCATATCTTCTACCCATTAGGGATTTTAGCCGGTTTGATTGTTACAAAATCACTGAACCTTGTCAATTGAAGAAATAGAAAGTCTCTTGTATCATAGATAAAATTAAATAGGAAAATTGTGATAGGTTACACAACAAAATGGAATATGAAAGATATGAGGACTACAACCTTTAATACAACTTAAAATTTTGTTATTAAAAAAAGATGGCAAGTTGACCAATAAAAAAGAGAGTAAATTCATGTTTTATATTTTTATTTTTAATAAAGATATGATTTAATATATTAAAAATGGGTTGTAGTATAAATTTATTTGTATGTAAAACAAATGAATGGCATTTCCTTAAAAAAAAAAAATACACACTTACAAATTAATTCCCAAATAACGTTATATAGTTAATGTTCTCAAATCTCAACCACAAAAATAATTATACAGAATATCTTAATTCTCTATCACGAAAATGAATATATGAAATATGGTCATATGCTAGGTTAATATCACTTCATAACCATAATGATAGTTTCGAATGTTCCACCACTCATTTATTAAACTTTTCTAGCATAATTAAATTCACTAAAAATAAAATTTTATGATATATGATTAATTTAATTGAACATAATTTTTGATAATTTGAAATGTTTTAGCATTCCACTATTAAATTCTTACATCAACGAGGTCCTGGCAGGATTGACTTCAAAAATTTATTGTCTTACATGCATGTTCCTCCATATCTTCTACCCATTACGGATTTTAGCCGGTTTGATTGTTACAAAATCACTGAGCCTTGTGATCTTTTCAAAATCAATTATTAATGATTTTTTCTTCAAATTTATTTTGGTATCTATATACAAAATCACTGAGCCTTGTGATGATTTTGTTGCTTAGTTTTGACTAAGGTCGGGTTTGTGCCGTTGAGTTGTTTTGATTTCAGTTTTTTTATAATATAAATATATGTATGTTTGTATTAATTAAGTTAATAAACAAAAATGTATCTCTGTTTCTAAAACTCTCTGACATGAAATATTTAAATAAATGAAGTTAAACAAAAGTTAGAATGCAAATTCTTAAGGTTTTTGTATTAGTTTTCTTATGTACTGACACTACAAGAAAACAGTCATTTACCGACTACATCTAGCGACTAAACAATTAGTCGCTAAATATGGCGACTAAATACCTACTATTTTAGGACAATAATACGACTGAAAACAATTAGTCGTAACATAGTCGCCCCGCAGCGACTAAATAAAACAGTCGTAACGATAGTCATCATGTAACGACTATATAGCGACTAAACAATCAGAGAAAAACTTCAGTCGTTTGACAGTCGGTATGTAGCGACCATATGGACGACTATATTATTTAGTCGTAAATTTACTGACTATTTTTACGACTATATTATTTAGTCGTAAAGTTAGCGACTATTTTACGACTTCTAGCGGCGGGCCGTATGTTTAGTCGGCCAGTAGTCGTTAAATCGCCGTCGTCGCTGGTTAGAAAAAACGTGTTTTTCGTTTGGGGTAGGTGTACCTAACTGAGGCGACTAGCTGTTGAAGATTGTGGACGTCATATTCATGTATTGTGACTACATACCTTTTTTTCCTTTTTGGTAAAAGGTTAATGACTACATACCAGAACTGGGACATTCCTTTTCATCTTGCATATAACTATAATGACTAGTGTCGTAACAGATGCAACAACATTATATTTCTTCTTCTTGCTTGTGGTGGCGGATGAAGGTGCGGAACATAGCCCGGTAAATTTGTTGACACTAGAGTTCTTACAAAAATATATATTTACAAATAATTAGAAAGTTCAAAGATTGAGTTATTGTGAAAGAGATGGAGGACTCTCTTTGCTTTGAGTCCTAATCTTGACTTTGACAACTCCATCATTTTGCACCTTAAACATGGCCGCTCAAGGCATACGCCCGAACACATTCAAAAGAGTTTCAGTGCTTTTGTCGATCATACTATAAAGAAGTTCTCAATGAAATTTAGAAGATATATTTATAAAGATAATGAACATGATGACATCGACCGCTGGATATGTTATGCCCTAAATACAAAGACTCCATTTGTCTTACGTTTTTAAGAACCCTTATGGCTTTATGGCTTTGCCGAAGCACCACCACTAGCCGCCGTAGACTCCCTTAGCCCACCTCTGATATTTGTGACGGTACGTTCGTATATATACTTGTGAATATATTCCCTAACTATGCATATTGGTACGTTCATATATTTTTAAAATTCAGAGTCTTTGTATTTTCTCTAAACTTCTAAGAAAAAAAGTAAAACACTAAAAAATAAGGAAATATTAACTTCTAAGAAAAAAGTAAAACACTAAAAAAGAAAACCCTAGCTAGCTCCATTATCATAAATTAAGTTTGCCGAGCAGCAAATCAACGACAAAGACTCAAAGCTTTGAAGAATAAGAAGTTCCTGAACAGTTGAATCCGGCTTCAATGGATAGTCTTCCTGATGATCTTCTTGTTCAAATCTTGTCCTTCCTTCCCACGAAAGAAGCTGCTTCAACCTCTCTTCTTTCCAAAAGATGGAGGACTCTGTTTGCTCTCAGTCCTAATCTTCACTTTGACAACTCCATCCTTTTGCACTATAAAAGACTGTTCGGTCATGACGACATTCAAAAGAGTTTCAATGATTTTGTGGATCACACATTGGCTTTGCATGGCTGTAACACTATAAAGAAGTTATCAATCAAACTTATGAGATATACTTCTAAATATAATCAACATGACGTTGACCGCTGGATATGTAATGCCCTAGAACACGGCGTCTCGGAGCTTCATCTAGTTATTACAACTCTACGGTTAGAGTGTCCTATTCCATCCAAAGTCTTCACCAGCACAACATTGGTTAAGCTGTCATTGGGACCTTGCCTAATAAGACTTCCTTCTGATGCATATCTCCCTGCCCTAAAGGTTCTCCGCTTTGAATCATACACGTATTGGGATTGTAAACTATTAAATGAGTTTCTCGCCGCTTGTCCTGTACTTGAAGACTTAACCACACTTTATGAAAAAAGTTACGAAGATTGCCATATCATATCCAGCAAAAGTATTAAGAAACTCTCAGTTACAATTGAGTCTAGCTCTTTGGCTAACCGTTCTTGCATTATTATGCTTGACACACCAAGTGTTGTCGACCTCTACTACTCTGATTACCTTGGGATTGAATCTCCACAATTTCACTTGGATTCACATGCCAAAGCTACATTGGACCTTCATTTATTACAAGATTACAAGCAAGTGAATGTGACAGATCTCATCAATGGGATATGCAATGTCAAGTCACTGCACTTAACTTCTTCTACTGTCGAGGTAAGTACTTGGATTGGTTTCTTTCATTTTTTTTTGGTTAGAAACTGAAAAATATTATATGTGTGTATTTCAGGTGATTTCAGTATGCTACAAAGATGAACTACCGATGTTCAACAACCTTGTTGATTTAGTGTTTTCAAGTGAAAAGCAAAGTTGGAGAGTGCTTCTTCCTCTTTTGCTACAACATTCCCCAAACTTAAAAACTCTAGTTCTTTCGGTATGAGACAAACCATGAGCAAAATCATTTTACTATATATATATGACTGTGGCATGACATTAAAGTAGTCTCTCTTCTTGATGCTTCAGGGTCTGGATGGTTTCACATGTAAACGACGTTGGTTTACTCGAATTCCCTCGAATAACCAAATAAAGATGCTGAGTATCATGAAGTGTCATGGGAAACCAAGCGAGGTGAAACACATTAGACATTTCTTACTGAAGATGGAGTTTCTTGAAGTGTTGAAAGTTTATGTTGCAGCTGAAATGGATGACCCCAAAAAGATGCAACTCAAAGAGGATCTGTTGAAGCTTCCAACTGCTTCCTCCAAGCTCAAGATACAGGTCATGTGATCATCATCCCAAAAATATACTACTACTATAAAATCTACAAAGTTACAACTGTAACCAATAAAGCCCAAAGTATGTATTTGAAGAGAGGGATTGAGTTATTTTCTTAAGCTTATAAAGTAAGTTTATACATTGTCAATCTTGAATTTTGAAAGCAACTTTCATATTCTATAGATAATTAATGTGTACTTATATTTAGCTTAGTTTGAGCTTTTATGCTAGACTGTTAGTGTGGTTTAAAGATTTCAGTTTGCTGTTAAGAGTGTTTTTTTTTTTGCTTCTGCAAAATCTTGAGATTGAGGAGTGTTAAAAATTGTTTTGCTGTGAAACAACGTACATGGAAGAATAAGGGATTTGTTAAGAGGACTTGTGAAATCTGTCAACTCATTGATGCATCCATGGAAGAGAAGCCATCATTGTCCTCCTTATTTCTTCGTTGTGGTTTGAATTGTCTTTTTTTGGTTCTTTATCCTTTTCTTAGTTCAAATAAACAAAAAATATAATTTAGTGTCTTCTTACTTTATGTGATATATCTCAAAGTTATACTCTGAAACAGAATGAGTATTATATATTTAAAATAAGGTTAGCTGGGTCCGTTAGTTTTACAGTTCTTTGGGAGTGGTCAGTTCAAAATATAGAAAAGATGAGGGAAAGAGTGGCAATTGAATTTATAATAAAATAAATTATTTTTTTTATTTATATTAACAGTAAATAAAAACAGTTAAAAATTAAAGAACCAGTTTGCATATGTATTTTTTAAGCTATATATAATTATATATCGAACAAAAACTAGCAAACTCTATTTTAGAAGTGATATCAAGTGGGGTTGAAGGAGATTTTACTCTAAAATAGAGTTTATAAACAAAAATAGAAGTGGACTGAAGATACTCTAAATGCTATATCATAAAAGTTTATTTATCTTTTTAGTCAACCATCTCGGAAAAATGAGATAGTTAAGCGTGTTTATGCTTGCTAAAGCAATTTCAAAATATATGACTTTTCGGGATGTGATTGTTGGAACTAAATGAGTGAAAACAAAACACTGAAAAAATTATGTATTGATTACTATTGATAAACAAATCTTTAAATTAGAGATTAACCTTTAAATTTATGATCTCTATTAGCCCTAATAAAATATAAATTTAAAAATAATACAACTACCCTTATATATAATAAACACGGAAAAATAATGAATTACCTATAAATATATATAGTAAGATCTCTATATATATCGACATGTGGTTAAAAGTAAAAGAAATAAGAAAAAGGAAAAGTAAAACGCTAAATAGAAACCCTAGCAGTTCCATAATCCTCCTAGCAGCAAATCAACGACAAAGACTCAAAGCTTTGAAGAAGAAGAAGAAGTTCCTGAACAGTTGAATCTGGCTCCAATGGATAGTCTTCCTGACGATCTTCTTGTTCAAATCTTGTCTTTCCTTCCCTCGAAAGAAGCTTCTTCAACCTCTCTTCTTTGCAAGAGATGGAGGACTCTTTTTGCTTTAAGTCCTAATCTTGACTTTGACAACTTCATCCTTTTGCTTCCTAAATATAATCGCACTTACAGTGAAAAGAGTTTCAATGATTTTGTGGATCATATATTGGCTTTGCATGGCTGTAACAATATAAAGAAGGTCTCAGTTAAACTTAGATATACTCATCAAGATAATATACATGACGGTGACCGCTGGATATGTAATGCCCTCGAACATGGTGTCTCCGAGCTTCATCTACTCATCAAATCTCCATGGCTGGAGTGTTCTGTCCCATCCAAAGTCTTCACCAGCACAACAATGGTTAAGTTGTCATTGGGAACCATATTTTCTAACCAACATTGTCCAAGACTTCCTTCGGATACATATCTCCCATCCCTAAAGGTTCTCAGCCTTGCATCATTCTGGTTTTGGGGTTGTGAATTATTAAATGAGCTTCTCGCGGCTTGTCCTCTACTTGAAGACTTAACCATACGTTATAAAATAATTCAAGGACATTCGTACATCATATCCAGCAAAAGCATTAAGAAACTCTCAGTTACCATTTACTGTAGTCATTATGCTGATTGTTCTTGCATTATTAAACTTGACACACCGAGTGTTGTTGACCTCTACTACTTTGATTACCATGGGCTTGAATCTCCACAATGTCACTTGGATGATTCACTTGCCAAAGCTACATTGGACCTTCATTTCTTAGATTACCATGATGACAAGAGCACGGATGTGACAGATCTCATCAGTGGTATACGCAATGTCAAGACCCTTCACTTAACTTCTTCTACTGCCGAGGTTAAGTACTTGTGTGCATATATGGTCGTCTCTTTATATTTTTTTGGTTAGAAACATGAAAATATTATTTGTGTGTGTTTCAGGTGATTTCGTTATGCTACACACGTGAACTACCAATGTTCAACAACCTTGTTGATTTAGTGTTTTCGAGTAGAAAACAAGGTTGGAAAGTACTATTGCCTCTTTTGCTAGAGCGTGCTCCAAACCTAAAAACTCTGGTTCTCTCGGTATGATGCAAACCATGAAAAAATTTATTTCTTTATATGTATATATGAGTGTGGCATGACGTTAAAGCAGTCTCTCTTCTTGATGCTTCAGGGTCTGGATGGTTTCAAATGTAGACGCGAGCAGTTTACTCGAATTCCTCCAAATAACCAAATAAAGAAACTGAGTATCATGAAGTTTCAAGGAAATCCAAGGGAGCTGAAACACATTAGTCATTTCTTACTGAAACTGGAATGTCTTGAAGTGGTGAAAGTTTATGTTACAGCTAAAATGGATAACCCCAAAAAGATGCAACTCACAGAGGACCTTTTGAAGCTTCCAACAGTTCATCCAAGCTCAAGATACAAGTCATGTGATCATCATCATTCATAAGTTATTATTTTTCTAACTGTCTTAAATAATTTATTAGCAAGTTTGTTTTAGTCACCAATGTTAGGGGTTACTGAGCTGAATTGCTCAATAAGATATGTCGTATTGAACAACTTTTGTTCTTTTATGAGAAATCAAACAGATCCTTTACACAATATGCTTAAAAGTTGCCCAGACGAGGGACGAGAAGCGAGCATATCGTACGTTCCAAGCTTTGATAATGTATCAGAGCGTGTAAACCAATAAACCAATATTTATCATTCAACAATAGCTAGCAGAACAATGTATTAAAATAAATATTCTCAAACATATAACAAAATTTAGTTATAAACCAAATATATAAGAAATATAAGAGAATCGAAATAAGTAATTATATTGTATTTTTGTAAAAAAAATTTCTATTTGTCGATGATATTTGATAGCGTATTCGAATATTTTTATATATAGATGGATGATATATATAAATTTATATTCAAATTTTTGATTTTTAATCTTTTCACAAGTTTGAAAATATTACATCATAATCGTTCCAAAAGGTTTAACGAAATTGTTTAGAAAAGAATGGAACTTCAAACTAAGATCACTCCAAACCTTTACTAAAACATCATACTACTGTCATAGTACCTTCAATCTTGGGTAGGTAACCAAAAATAAAATGCAACTAAAGATAACCAAACATATGTATTAAACTAACAAATGAAACATGAGAAAGTTTTGTGCTTGAAGAATCTCATAAGAAGGTGACAAATTCGGGCTTGTAAAGATTATAAAGTTGATAAAGGTAACATTGACCGCTGGATATGTTATGCCCTGGAACACGGTGTCTCTGAGCTTCATCTATGCACATATTTATTCTGGAGTATTTCTATCCCATCCAAAGTCTTCACCAGCACAACACTGGTTAAGCTGTCATTGAGATTTTTAAACTTACTAAGAGTTCCTTCAGATACATGTCTCCCAGCACTAAAGGTTCTCAATCTTGATTCAATGTGGTTTGAGGGCAATCAATTTTTTGATGTGTTTCTACCTGCTTGCCCTGCACTTGAAGACTTAACCATACAAGGTTACACGTCTAGTCGAATATTCCCATACGTCATATCCAGCAAAACCATTAAGAAACTCTCAGTTTCTTATTCATGTTATCGTTATGGTGATGATTTTTCTAGTAAGATTTTATTTGACACACCTAATGTGGTAGACTTCTACTACTTTAGTTATCTTGGTGGTAAATCTCCATCTCCACAATGTCGCATGGATTCACTTGCCAAGGCGAAATTAAACCTTTGTTTCCTAAGGCGAAATGGTGCGGATATGCAAAGTGGCACGGATGTGACTGATCTCATTGGTGGGATACGCAATGTCAAGACCCTTCACTTGACTTCTTCTTCAGTCGAGGTTAGTTTCAGTGTCTTGGTCTCTCTCTCTCGGAAGTATTCATGCATTGTGTGTATTTCAGGTGATTTCGGCATGCTGCAAAGGTGGATTACCCGTGTTCAACAACCTCGTTGATTTAGTTTTTTCGAGTAAAGAACAAGGTTGGAAATCGCTTCTGCCATGTCTGTTGCGTCGTTCCCCAAACCTTAAAACTCTAGTTCTCTCGGTATGAAGCAAACCATGAACAAATCTTACTTTATATATATATGATTGTGGCATGATTGTTAAAGTTTTCTCTCATCTTGATGCTTCAGGGTCTGGATTATTTCTCATGTAGACGGCATCGGTTTACTTGGATTCCCCGAAATAACCAAATAAATATGTTGCGTATCATGAAGTTTCAAGGATATAAAAGCGAGCTGAAACACATTAGACATTTCTTACTTAAAATGGAGTGTCTAGAAGTGCTACAAGTTTATGTTGCAGCTTCAATGGATGGCCCCAAAAAGAAGCAACTCAAAGAGGATCTGTTGGAGCTTCCAACAGCTTCCTCCAAGCTCAAGATACAAGTATACAAGTCCTTTAATCCTCTTCAATAATTAATTAGCAAGTTTCTTTTAGTGATTTATAATTTACTATGGTAAGGATCAGTAACTAATAACAACTTATATATTAGTTAATAGTTACCATTGTTAGGGGTTTCTGAGCTATATTGTTCTCCATAAGCTATGGCTAATTGAACAACTTCGGTTCCTTTTATGAGAAATCAAAACAAACTCTTTACACAATATGCTTAGAGGGATGAGAATTTTGCCAAAAAGTTGCCCAGCTTGGTGTAAATCGAACCAAGCTGAAGAAACAAACACAATATGTTACAACAAAAGCTAACAACACTCCACTTTTGAAAATCCGAGTGGACCGAATCAACATACAACAAACATGAGATGAAACAAAACACCAAGCACAAGAAGAATCTCATCGTGCCCGATAAAACACAATCACTTAAGGCTCCACAAGGTTAGGATCCAGCCCTCTTGCCTTCCTCGTCTTCCCTACAAACAGATCCTTAGATTTGATCAAACCAGGTATGCAGCCCGAGACTGTCAAGAATGGGAACTGAGCCACTGATTCCTTCCTTCCTAAAGATATTATGGCAATATCTGGACCAGGCTTGTAGGTTGACATTTTCTTCTCGTTCCCACCAGACATCAACAGCTTTATGTTCTTTGTAGCCACAGAGGCGTGTTTCTCAGCAATGTAGCCTTGTTTCATCTCCTGTTATAAGAATCATATATTTCAGTTGATATTTTTATAGTAACTAATGAAAAAGAAAACATTTCTCATATTACTATATATCACACACTTACCGGGACATCAGTAATATCACCAATAGCGAATACATTCTTGCGACCCTTAACTCTCAAATACTCATCGACGATCAGCCTTCCTTTACCATCCAAGTTCTCTTTCAAAACAGTTTCTTTTAGCCATTGTGAAGACAAAGGTTTTCCAGTGCAGAGGAAGTGGCAATCTGCGTGTACCGTTTCTCCTCCTGATGTTCGGTATGTTTTATTCCCGTCCGAAGCAGAACTCAAATCAACCCTTTGGTTCAATATCACTTCAACTCTCTTTGATTTCATCCAATCAAACGCCTTGTCTGCAGCTTTTTGACCAACAAATTCCAGCAATCTCGGTCCATTGTGCACTATAGTAACCTTCTTCTCCGGGAAATCAACAGCTATTTCCGCAGCAAGCTCTACACCCGACGGGCCTCCACCAACAATCAGAATCGACTCAGAGGACTTAATCTTCTCATATTCTACAACCACACAATTCAACTGTAAGAAAAAAACATAAACCAGAAAATCCATCCCCGGATACTCAAAACCCCATTACATGTTCCTAATTCACAGAGCTTCGTTTACATAATACAAGAAACAGAAACAAGAAAAACCAAATGCAAATAGAAGTAAGATGATTCATATTCATACCAGCTTGGTATTGAGAAAGCTTCTCTTGTCTAGTTTTGGGAAGCACATCATTGTGACCAGTAGCAATCACAAGATAGTCATACCCAAAGACAAGTCCATCAGCAGTCACAACATCAGTCTCTGTGATATTAACAGCTGGAGAAGTCACAACACGACCATTTTGTAAATACTTCTTGTGGTTTATCACTGATCTTTCAGCAAATGAAGGTTCCACCATTGATCTTAAACTTGCCCAAGTAATCTCAAAATACTCCTTCCTGTTAATTATTACCAAACACAACTACTAATCAGATTTTAAGTCATGTCCTAATTAGGGGTTAATCAAGATTAAGACAAAACAAATCACGAGATTAAGACAAAACAAATTAAAAAAAAAAATATTAAAGCTTACGGATCGATGAGGGTGAGATCGGAATCGAACTGAAGCAACTTCGAGGTGAGAGAGCCGGCGACTCCGCCGCCGATAACCACCACTCTCCGCCCATTTGCTGATTCAGATTCTGTTCTTTCCATGATCTTCGCGATCCAAAATCAAATGTTTTTAAGAAAGCTTCTCGAATGTTCGTTCTCCAATTTCGATTAAGTATATACACACAGCTAGATTATATATTGAGGAGGATTAAAGGAAGAGGAATAAAACTTAATTGTGTGGTTAACGTGTTGAGTGACGTCAGAACCGACGTCGCCGACGGCGGAAGGAGCTGGCCGTGTTTCCCATCTGATTCTTTTACTCGTTTCGATTTATTATTGGGCCTTTAAAATTTGGGTAGGAGGCCCAATATTGGCTGAGTTTAAGCAGGAACCATTTTTAGACGACTCGTTTCGATTTATTTTGGATTCTTACGGAAAATGCTATTTTCTAAAGCAAATTTTATAAATGTGTCATTTTTGCTAAAATTTTATGGTTTGCCATTTTTGATTTTTTTAAAAAAATTCTATCTTTCTATTTTTTTTGTTGCTAAAAATATATATCTATATTAACATTTTTGAAGTAACTTTTGTGTTCTACCCTTATAGTTTTACTTATTTAAATTTTTATTTACAATGTTAATCCCTACAAAATTGCACAAAACTCAATAAGTAAAACATCTAAAATCGATCTAATCAATTAATTTTATTTCCATAAAATCGAAAAAAATCTATAAATTTACTAAAATGGTGGAACAATTTTTATAAGAGTTCCGATTCAGCAGTCAAATATTTTTGAAAATAGAAACAAAAAAATCTTAATACCATATAATCATATACGCTTAAATACTAATTACAAAAAAAAACTAAATTTTATACTAACTGATTTCGCAGCTTCCCTTTCAAATTTTGTTTCTTCCGATATTCTACAATTAATCTAAGAAATTCGCAATCAATAATATCTTATTGATATTTCACAATTAATAAATATGGCAAAACTTTAATTCTATACTAGCATCTATATTAACATTTTTAAAGACACTTATGAAAAAACCCTTAAAGGGAGAATTTATTTACAAGAAAATGACATTGCCATTTAATATTTAATTTATTAAAGTTTAAATCTTCTAATATTAGTTTCCAAATTATTTTTGGGTAATCTCCATATATTTTTTGAATTAATTACGAGTTTCCTTTTACAAATTATGTGCTCCTATTTCTTTTCCAACAAACAAAACGACATTCATTATAATTCGGTAATAGAAACAAACAAGAATATCTTACCTACATATCACGTTTATAAATATGGCATAACCTTAAGTCACATAAACATTTGGAAAATATCGAAATGTTACTAGCATATTCCATAAAAATCTTCGCATAATCCTACGCACACCTTCCAAAAATGTGAGATCTCTAAAGATATTAACAACTACCTCACCAAACTTATCTCATAAACCATATCTTCTCATTGACACTATAAATACTACTCTTTTCCCGCAACTCATAACACCAAAACCAAAACCCATACACACACAAAATCTTAATTAACGCCATGGTTGCTACGGTAGCTTCGTTTCTGTCTAAGCTTTACTTTTTATATATGTTTCTATCCACGTTCTTTACTTTGTTAATTGTTTATAGATGTGGTTGGTCAAACTATTGACATTGGGGAGATGAAAATGCTTGAAGTTAACAACATACCAACTTATAAGCTTAGATTTAAATTGAGAGATAAGAGGTGATATTTTTGTACTACTACATATATATATGTTGATATCAAATTTTATGGATCAGTTAACTAACTTTTGATCTATTCATAGTGATGAGAGACTATGGTGTACCTTGCATATGTAAAAAATAGTGTGTTATGAACCCGTTTACATGTCGAATTAAAACAGGTCTTATTTTCTATAAAAGTTGTAGGTGACTTATTGTAAAGTGAATCTTGAAAAGAAGAACAAGTCAGATCGTAATATATATTACCAAGTACACTACAATCTTTATTTCAAATTTTATTATTAATAGCTTGATACACAAATTATTAGCTTGATACAATCTTTATTTGTGTATTATTAATAGCTTGATACACAAATTTTATCATTTCAAATTCTGTAAGTTATTTCATCGATAAGTACAGAAAACTATGTACACAAAATTATATATTTATATGAGTTCGTTTCTAACCTTTATCAAGATTGCTTGATAGCCTTCTGCTATTATTTGTTTTGTTCACAAAGTGTCACCTAGAAAGCAAAACATTATACATACAAAATCGTGAAATCCTGATGCTTTCTAAGATATATATAATGAGTTGATAAACAAAGAGTAGGGGTATACGTAACAGCCCAAACCTTGCCTGAATTTTGTTCCATACACAATCCTATATGGGACAATCAATAGGTTAACTTGCTCTTACAACATTTAGCTGTCCAAAATAGCAGCCAAAAATTAGATCATACTGAAGTTACTGTATCAAATTATATGATACAATGTTAAATGACATTTCGAAAGTTCATACTTTTTTCGTCTACAATTTGAAAATTGGGGATTTTTTTGACATTTTTTCCTTTAAAGTTTGTAGCTAATTTAACCCAAAAAAATTTATACAATGTTAATAATTATTTAGATTGGTAATATACAATGTTAATAGTTATTTAAAAAATTCCAACAGTATCGATTGAAAAACTAATGTACATTTAAAAAGAAAAAAAAAGGAGAAAAATATTTGCCCTGCAATGTACAAACTTTTGCGTGTACAACTATAAAATTACTCGGTTAAAACTAATCAAGCTCTATACGACTATATGACTATATCACTATGATAAAAGCATTTTTAATATTTACGTAGCATTTCGAACAAACCACCGCATCGTAATTCTTAAAAATATGAAACTTTTAAAATATAAATATCGTCCCGCGGTGTACCGCGGGTTAAATCCTAGTATTATAGTAAATACTAAACCTTAAAAACACCATTTTCGATGTTCGAAGCTATGGTGCTAAAAGCGACGACAAACCTGATAAATACATATATAGCTTATTCGTTTAGTATAACTCTATATTTCTTAATTAAATATGATCAGATTATAAATTGCATGCATAGAATAGTGATTAAAAGTCTCCACGCATGTACGTACCGTTTCCAGGCATAAGCTAGAAATACTCGACTTATTAGCTTATTGTTTTATATTTTATTTCAATGAGAATATATAGTAGATATTATCTATTTCAGTAGGCATGAAAAATAAATTATTTATTTAAGTGAGATTATATAGTAGACATAAAACTTCATGAGTACCATAAGTTAATATACTGTATATGTATAATGTATTCGATCTTTTAAACCATTCAGTTTGAAATATGGTTAATTGGTGTTATCACATCCATGTATTTTAAAATTATACAATACAGCATAGATGCTATATAAGTAAACCATGATCAAATCATAAGCAAAACATATGCAAATATTAAAGATGACCAAAAAAGTTAGAGGATAAATTCAATTATTTGTTGTTTAAGGAGGAAGAATGATTCTTTTACGCTGAAATAATAACTATATGAACGTTAATTTAAGATTAAAATATTTTGTGATTGAGCAGCTGAGAATACTTCTTTCACGGTGTTCTCGAAGATGTGAAGTTTTGTTTAACATGTGTAGTCATCATCACCGTGGTTTCCACTGCATGGTTCCACATGATCACATATCATAAATGGGTGAAGGAGTGCCTTTTCTATATAGCGCGATCAAAGCTCTCTCCAGTGAAAGCCATTTGATTGATCTCAGAAAGATATCTGCATAGGACCTAAAGAATAAAACGAAGGGATGACCTTTGCATGAAGTTCAAAAGTGAAGCTGAGGCTAGAGTTGCAGCGAGCACAGTCTTCCAGAGAGTTGCTAAACCAGGATCAGAGTATGAATTTTGAACTTTTCATTCTATGCTTTTTTGTGCTTTGTTTAGATTAATCCGATTCAAGATTCTTATGTTTTCAGGTTTGTTGACATTAACTAGGAAATGTTATTTTCACAAATCAATTGTTTGGTAATATTTACCACATATTTAGATATGATTTCCAGGAGAAATAGATATTGGATTGTAGAAATAAACAATGATATGTGAATTTGAAGCAAAAGAAAAGAGAATATACCTCATATTGTTTATATAGTTTTACTCTATGTATTTTCTTAATAGACGTTTCAAACATGCTTTTAACAAGTCAACAAAAGATACATCACAAATACTTTAAAACTAGGATTGTAGCACAGGGAAAAATTTCAAGTTTTGTTTTTTTTTGTTTTTTTGGTTTTAGTTTTAATGACATTATAAACATGATCGTTGATGTTGGTGTTCGATGTTTTAGAGGACATACTGTATCGGTGATCGAGAAAGATTAACAAAATATATTGTATTATATAGTTTTTAGACCTATATAAAGTAATAAATGCAGTGTAATATTTTCACTACTATTTGTTTTTGAAATAAAATTGTGATTTTGGATCCGCGCTACAGCGCAGGAGAATATTTTCATATAATTTGAATCATATTTATGTAAGATTAGGTATTACAAAGTATTTAATTATAAATCTTAAGTGAAGTGTATCATGTTCTCATCCGTTGCAAAATTATTAATATAATATATGTTCTAACCCGTTGCATAATTATCAGGTACTTTATATATTTCTATTATTTAATCCTTGTAAAATTTTTAATACTGATAATATATGAACCTTTAAAAGTTTCATTATTTATAGTATTTTAATTTTAAAAAGATTAAAAATTATAATATTTTAAAATTTTAATAAATCTTAAAATTTATAACGGTTTTATTATTTATAAGTTTATACATTTTAAATTTTTAACTATTAAAATATTTTGAACCTTTTAAAATTTTTTAGTTTTCTCAAACTTAGAACCGGATTATACCAAATTTAAAATACCGATAAATCAAGTTTATTGCTCATTCGTAGTTCGAAGCATGTTTGTCTTATTTATAAAGATCTGAACTATTGTCAACAAATATTTTAGCTGATTTGGGACATTGTATATACATTTTTTTTGGTCAATCGAGTAATATATGTCCGCTTTTAAAAATTTAAATTGCAATATATGTTAAAAAAAATGTTGAAATTTTACTATATATTAGTATTATATATTGTAATATATTAAATTAAAAATAAGATCAAATAAAGATGAAAGGAGAATAATATTTTTTAAAAATATAGTTTCTTTAAGTAGTTAGAGTAGTATTAAGAAATCCAAGA